TCTGGGATCACTGGAAGCTCCACCTCCCGGGTTCAAGCCATTCTCCTACCTCAGCCTCCCAAGTAGCTGGGACTACAGCGCCCACCACCACGCCCGGCTAATTTTTTGTATTCTCAGTAGAGACGAGATTTCGCCATGTTAGCCAGGATGGTCTCGATCTCCTGACCTCGTGATCTGCCCACCTCAGCCTCCCAAAGTGCTGAGATTACAGGAGTGAACCACCACGCCTGGCTACCTTGCACTTCTATGTTATTAAGACAGCTTCTTTACTTAAACCTTATGAACCAACTCTGTTGGCTTTAAATCTTTCTTCTGCAGCTTTCTCACCTTTCTTAGCCTTCACAGAATTGAAGAGTTTGGGCCTTGCTCTGGATTAGGCTTGGTTTGAGGGAATGTTGTGGCTGGTTTAATCTTCTATCCAAACCACTAGAACTTTCTCCATATGGGCAATAAGGTTATTTCACTTTTAGTGAACCATTCACATGTTCACTTGTGTAGCATTTTTAACTTCCTTCACAAACTTTTCCTTTGTATTCACAATTTGGCTATCTCTTTGGCACAAGAGTTCTAGCTCTCAGCCTATCTCAGCTTTTGACATGCTGTCCTCACTGGGCCTAATGATTTCTAGCTTTAAAGTGACAGATGTACAACTCTTCCTTTCCTTTCACTTGAACACTTAGAGGCCACTGTAGGGTTATTAACTGGCCTAATTTCAATATTGCCGTGTCTCAGGGAATAAGGAGGCCTGAGGAGATACAGAGGCACAGAGGAACGGCTGGTTGGTGCAGCCTGAAACTCTGAACTGAGTATTGGCAAGGACAGGTAGCTCTAGTTGAAGCCCTTCTACTGTTGACTTGAGCAATGGGAAAAGGGCCCCCTGATGCTAAAATAGAGTGGGAGAAATTCTGTTTTTGTTTTTTGATTTTTTACCTTTTCTCTGCTCATGTTCAGCCCCCAAGCAATTCCATGGCAATGAGATTGGTAGCAATGATGGCAGAGGCCTAAAACTCTGAGGGGAACCTTATCTCTGGAATGTAGGACAACCCCATTTTTTCCTCTCTGTCCTCCTGCTACTGGGCCCTTGATGTACAGATGCATAAAGTGTGTGGCAGAGAGAGGTGAATAAAATCCTAGTTTTGGGGCTAGAAAAACAATAAAAGGGATCCCTAGGGAACTAGAAAATATTAGTGAGATTTCACAGAGGAAGGAACTTGGGAATGCAACCCCACAAAGTTGTTTATAAATCACTGATCTCACTCAAAGCTACACACCTATGGATATGACCCTAAACAGCACACCATAGGCTTTGAGAACTGAATTGTGGGACATTTCAAGTTACAGAGAGAACACTGGGTGGCAGGACACTTTGAAAATGGAATTGACATTGAAACCAACCCCATACAATGCTGACAGGAACTTGCAGCCTGAATCCAATCAGGTCAATTGCCTGATGAAAATGTCAACTTTTGCTGTAAGGTTTAAACAAGACCAAGAGACTTATAATATTAAAAATGTCTGGAATACAATATAAAATAACAGCATATGACAACCAAGACAATCTACATTTGTGTAAGAAAGGACAATCAATAGATACCAGCACTGAGCTGATAAATGGCTCTTATGAAAATGTCCCTACCAGTAATAGAAAATATTCCTGAAATGAATAAAATAATAGAAAGGCTCAGGAAAAAAAACAAAAGATATAAATAACAACAAAATGGAAAATTTAGAACTGAAAAATGCAATAACCAATATTTTAAAAAGCATCAGACAGACTCAATAGCAGAATGAAGATGACAGATTAAAAAGTCTATGAATCTGAAGACAGAGCAACAGAAATCATCCAATCTAAACAACTGGCAGGAAAAAAAATTAAACTTAATTGAGTTTCAGGGAACTATGTGACAATAATATCTAGTCTTTTTGTCATCACAGTCCCAGAAGAAAAGGAGAAAGGGTGCAGGGATAAAAATATATTTGAAGAACTAATGGCTGAAAATATCCCAATTTCAACACAGACATAAATCTAAGGATGCAAGAAACTCAGTGAACCCTAAACAGGATAAACCCAAAGAAATCTATATCTAAATACATCATGATAAAACTCGTACAAATGAAAGATAGAGTCTTGAAAGCCACCAGAGAAAAGCAACACTTACTTATAAAGGGACAATTCAAATTACAGATTTCTCATAAGAAACCATGAAAGCCAAAAGGAAGTGGGACCACATTTTATAACTGCTGAAAGAAAATTGGCCAGGCACAGTGGCTTGCACCTGTAATCCCAGCACTTTGGGAGGTCAAGGCAGTTGGATTACCTGAAGTCAAGAGTTCAAGACCAGCTTGGCCAATGTGGTAAAATCCCATTTCTACTAAAAATAGAAAAATTAGCCAGGTGTGGTGGCACACGCCTGTAGTCCCAGCTTGCTCAGGAGGTTGAGGCAGGAGAATCGCTTGAACCCAGGAGGCAGAGGTTGCAGTGAGCCAAGATCATGCCACTGCACTCTAGCCTGGGTGACAGAGTAAGACTCCATCTCAAAAATAATTATTAACAACCCAGATTTCTACATCAAGCAAATTATCCATCAGGAAAGGTGAAATTTAAAAAATATATCAAATATAAAAAAATTAAGAGAATTTTTTTTTCTTTTTTTTGCCATCAAACATGCTGGGATTTTTCACTGGGGTTGCACGGAATCCAAAAATCAATGAGCAAAAAGAAACATCTTAATAATATGGACTCTCCCAATCCATAAATATGGTATATCTTTCCATTTATTTCATTTTACAATTTCTCAGCAATGTTTTATAGTTTTTCATATAAAGATCTTGCACATATTTTGTTAAAACTATCCCTAAGTATTTCGTATTTATATGCTGTTGTGCATGATACTGTAATCATATTTTCAATTCAATATGGTTTGTTGTTAGTTCTTAGAAATACAATTGATTGGCAGGTGTGGTGGCTCATGCCTGTATCTCAGCACTTTGGGAGGCTGAGGTGGGTGGATCATGAGGTCAGGAATTTGAGACCAGCCTGACCAACATGGTGAAACCCCATCTCTACCATAAATACAAAAATTAGCCAGGCGTCTCATGATACACGCCTGTAGTCCCAGCTACTCAGGAGGCTGAGGCAGAAGAATTGTGTGAACCCAGGAGGCGGAGGTTGCAGTGAGCTGAGATCATGCCACTGCACTCCAGCCTGGGCAACAGAGCAAGACTCTGTCTCAACAAAAAAGAAAGAACGAAGGAAGGAAGGAAGGAGGGAGGGAGGGAGGGAGGGAGGGAGGGAGGGAGGGAGGGAAGGAAGGAAGGAAGGAAGGAAGGAAGGAAGGAAGGAAGGAAGGAAGGAAGGAAGGAAGGAAAGACAATTGATTTTTTATGTTAACTTTGTATTCTTCAACTTTTAAATTCATCTGGAAGTTCTGGTAGTTATTTCTGGCAGATTTCTTAGGATTTTCTATGTACACAATCATGTCATCAGCAAATAAGGACATTTAGGTCTCCCTTTCAAATTTGTGTGCTTTTTATTTATATTTCCTGCACTACTTAACTGACTAGGACCTCCATTACAACGTTAAATAAAAATGGTAAAGTCAGCGTCCTTGTCTGTGCTCAGTCATCTTAGTATAATGTTAGTTGTACTTTTTCTGTAGATGCCATTTACTTGTTTGAGGATGTTCTATTCCTAGTTAGCTTAGAATTTATATCATAAATGCAAACTTGAGGATAAGTGATAAACATAATAAAAAGAACAAAAAAAACCCCGTCTTCTACATCTATTGAGATGACTATATTGCTTTCTTTCATTTCTCATATTATTTCATTGCATTCCTGGGATATAAACTTGGTCATGATGTATTATCCATTGTATAATTTGTTGGATTGAAGATAGAATTTTTAGGAATATTGGAGTTGACTTTCATATGTTGTATTGGTCTATAGCTATTTTCTCTCAAAATCTTTGTCAGTTTTTGGGTACCAGTGTTCTGCTGGATGCAAGAGTTGGGAAGTGTTCTTTCCTTCTATTTGTGTAGAATTGGCTTCTTTTTCCCCTTAAATGTTTGAAAAAACTTGACAGCAAAGCCATTTAGTCTTGTCTTTTTCAATGCAGAAAGGTTTTAATGATAAATTTTATTTCTTTAATGAATACAGCAATATTCAAATTTTCTATTTCTTCTTGAGTCAGTTTCTCCAGGTGTTTGTCCATCTTCCATAAGTTTTTTTTTTTTAATTTAGTGGGATAGAGTTGTTTAAAATATGTTGCTATTATTTTGTTAATTTCTGTAGATTTTTCATTAAAAAATAAAGAGTATTTTAGGACAGTTTATATTTACAAAAAATGGAGAAAATAATACTGAGTTCCTACACACCCCCTCACCCCACCTAGTTTCCCTTATTAGTATGGTACATGTTACAATTAATGAACCATGTTACATTATTAACTAAAGTCAATAGTTTACTCAGATTAGATAAAAACATTAGTTATTTTCTGTTCCAGGGTCTCATCTAGGACATTACATTATATTTGCCTGGCATGTCTCCTTAGGCTTCCCTTGACTATGGTAGTTTTTTAGACCTTTCTTATTTTTCATGACCTTAACAGCTTTCAAGAGTACTGGTGAGGTATTTTGTACAATACCTTACTTTTGAATACCTTAACAGCAACTTGTCTGATTTTTTTCTTTTTTTTTTGAAGGAGTCTCACTCTGTCACCCAGGCTGGAGTGCAGTGGCACAATCTCGGCTCACTACAAGCTCTGCCTCGAGGGTTCACATCATTCTCCTGCCTCAGCCTTCCAAGGAGCTGGGACTACAGGTGCCCACCACCCAGGTCCGGCTAATTTTTGTATTTTTCGTAGAGATGGGGTTTCACCGTCTTAGCCAGGATGGTCTCCATCTCCTGACCTCGTGATCCACCCACCTCAGCCCCCCAAAGTGCTGGGATTACAGGTATGAGCCACTGCACTCGGCCGCTTGTCTGATGTTTTAATTAGCTTAAATTGCAAATATTTATCCTCTCACAGTTTCTAAGGATCAGGAATTTGGAGTAACCAACTGAATGGTTCTGGTTCAAAGCCTCTCGAGAGGTTACTGTCAAGCTGCTGGCCCAGGGATGGCTTGACTGGAGTAGCATTCACTTCCAAACTCGTTCACAGAGACACTGGCAGACCTCAGTTTCTTGCTGACTGTTGGAGACTTCAGTTCTTCACCATATGGGCCTCTTCATAGGATTCCTGAGTGTCATCAAAACATGACAGCTGCCTTCTCCCAAAACAAGTGACCTGAGAGAGTGAATGAGGGTGACCAAAACTTAAGCTGCAATCTCTTCATGACCTAATCTTGGCAGGGACATACCATCACTCCTGCCATATGCTACTGGCCACACAGACCAGCCCTGGTGTAACAAAGCGGGGACTATACAAAGGTGTGATTTCCCATTGGTGGAGATCCAATTTAGAGGCCAACCTGGAGGCCCCCTTGCACAGTGAAAGTCTGCAAGAGCAGCAATTTGTCCGCCTTCTTCCTGTCTGCCTGCCTACTGCTTGTACTGTTGAGTGTCCACAAGAGCTTTCCTTAATGGGACCCTATTTATCACAGAAGTCAAGATTTTCCATCCAATGTGCTATATTAACAACTTAATAAATGTTGCTCAATTCTTTAAGTCTGTGAGACAGGCAATACTGTCCATACTTAATAAACGAAGAATAGGAAAAGTTAAGCAATCTATCACACATCTAGTAAGTCATGAGACCAGGCATTCCCAAGTTTATCATTCTTCAAGGCTGTCTTCCTACAGCTCTCTTCTTCTTGTGAAGCAGCTCCTGGTTCTACTAACTCTCCAGCTTGTTCTCACTAACCCCTCACTTCTCTCACACCAGCTCCTCCCTCTACCTTCCATCATGCTACATGGAGTTTAAGGTCTTTGGGTTCCTAGTTAGTTCCACAGCTGAAATCCTCTTGCCCATGCCTATATGACACTAGCCTTTTGAAATTTCTTAAGCCTAGACTTTATGGCCTAGCACAAGGCAAACTCCATAAATATTCTATGCGTGCTTGAAATGAGTATGCTTTCATATTGGGTGCAATCTTTGAGTTGAACTTGTTAATTCTGCTACTCAAAAATAAATCTTTACTGATTTTTTTGTGTGTTTGACCTAATAATTTACTGAAGTATGTTAAAATCTCCACTATAATGGACGGTATCAATTATTCCTTGCAGATCTATACACATCCGTATGTTATTAGATGCATACTAGTTTTATCTTCCAGGTAAAATTAGTCTCTCACCAATATATAGGTACCATATTTACCCCAGAAGAGGAAAAAAGAGGGAGAAGAGAAAGAGACAGAGAGGAAAATAAAAGGGTGAGAGGAAGCCAAGACAGACAGATTTATAGGTAGGCATCCTCCCCTCCTTGCAAAAGAAAGATTATTAGCCATTCCAATAGTCTGTAACCTGGACAGTGGTTACAAATGCTTAAGATGGATTGCTTCTTTCCACTCACATCAGTGAGAAGACAGGCTTCTCTGCTGCCTCTCTCTGTGAGGCAGTCTGTTTCCCACTCAACTTTCCACTGGGGTGCAGCCCATTGGGCTTCCAGCTTTACACAAAGATTTCCTATCAGAAACTCCACCCATGCAAACCTGGGATTTCGTTTTTTTTGCCCCATGCTCAGTGCAAAGCAGGAGTTGAAGGCTTCCAGGGTTCTTGTTTTGCTTCATTTGGGATTCTGGAAAAGCTGGCTCTGTGTGTGTGTGGCACTTAGCAATACAGTAACAAAATTATTAAAAATATATTTTATCAAGTATTTAAATCAAGTCTGTTGAAAGCATTAATCACACCCTCTCCATATTGCTTCTAATCTTTAAAATCCTTTGGTCTCCTGCAATTCAGCTCAAATATGGCTACTTTCATTAAACTCTGTTCAATCACCCTACCCCTGCCCCACAGCCAATAGAAATTAGTAACATCTCCCTCTGCCTCCTGCTGCACTGTTTCTGCCACAGGGATAGCAATTACCCCAACATACTTTACACCTTTTAGATACATTTGTATTTTTTTCTCCCAAAGAAAAAAGCCACTCTATAACTAGGTCCTATGTCAGTTTTCTTTGGGTTTCCAGTCCCACTACCCCGCTGCTCCATTCCCTGCCTCCAGAAAGGGTAGCAAAATGCCTGTCTACAAACAGTGTTCCTAACTGTTGGCTTAACATTTGTCTTTTAAGATAAATGGCTAGAAATTCTGACCCCAGCCTATCCAATCTTAAGCTAAACAGCTAGTGTGGCTCATGAGAGCAAGTGGCTTAAAAGAGCCTTGCATTGGCTACTGTGTGGCATACTCAAGAAAACAGAGGTTTTCCAAAAGGACCTTGGATGGGCCTCTGTCTTCAAGGACCTCTGAAATGCTGACATGTCTGTAAATTCTCATGCAATCACTTAATATTACCTGTATTCATTTATGGAACTTGACCATCATTAAATAGACTATGACAGAATTATTTCACAGTTAAATTAGTTAGATTTCACATAATACAGTATTAAGAACTTTTGGAAATATTACTATTAAGATCAACATGAAAAAGCAATTCAAGTCCTTTTATATTACATGAGATATTTTGTTCAGTGTAGAGATATTAATTAGGGGAGAAAAGCTTCAAGGTTATCACCACCAAGTAATACGTGTGAGTGTGAAGCACGAGTCAGCATTTTAACAGTAGGTTAAATGTGCCTCAAAAAAGAAAAGAGATGACTAACCTTACATAGTGTGTACAGCTTCCTGCTAATGCACATGGTCCTCTGCAGACAGCTATCCAAATGCAGCCCACAGACACTGTTCACCAGCGAGCATGTGTGAATTCTAGGCCCACACACTAGAAAACCACCACTTTATAGAGTTTCATAACTGAAAATATATTTTCATAGAAACAACAAAGCAAAGGGGATGAAAACAATGGCGACCAGAAAAGCTAACTTAGATGAATGGTGCCACTCAAAGGTCTTTCCGAGGGAAGCTGAGTCCTGGCTTGCGAGAGTCGGCCTTGGCTCACCTCACAACAGGGCTCCAAGCTAAGGCGTCAAGGAAGCAGTCCCACTGCTTCTCGCAGTCAGCGAGACTACAAGGCAGATGCCCACTGCTGTCCTGTCTCCTCGTCTACTTTCTCATCTCAGTGTTGTAAGGCAGCCCTGCACTGGTCCCTGAGTAACAGAGCAGCTGTCATGAGCACAGGTTCATGTTATCCGAGAGTGTTCTTATCTTTGAGAGAAATGAGAATATGACAAGGAAAACTAAACAGCAGCAGGCCTAGCCTCAGCAACCTTTCTGAGTGATGTCTAGTCCCGACGACTTTGTGATTTCCAAAGTCGTGAACACCTGTTCAAGAGAAAGAAAACAAATACATATTTAGATGTTAGCACTGCTTTAAGAAAACACATTCTGAATATTACATTTATGCTATTCTTTAAAATATACAAATCTGGCCGGGCATGCTGGCTCATGCCTGTAACCCCAGTACTTTGGGAGGCTGAGGTGGGTGGATCACTTGAGGTCAGAAGTTCGAGACCAGCCTGGCCAACATGGTGAAACCCCATCTCTACTAAAAATAGAAAAATTAGTCAGGCATGGTGGTATACACTTTTAGTGTAGTCCCAGCTACTTAGGAGGCTGAGGTGGGAGAATCACTTGAACCTGGGAGGTGGAGGTTATAGTGAGTCAAGATCATGCCACTGCACTACAGCCTGGGTGACAGAGTGAGACCCTGTCTGAAAAAAAAAAAAATTAAATTAAATTAAAAATAAAATATACAAATCAGTTACTAATATGACATCTAACAAGTGCTTTATAATAGTTTTTCAAACTACATCAACTGAAGCCAATTTTTAAAACCTCCTGTTTCCTACCTCCCCACATGTGGGGTGAATTCCAATGGTGTCATCAAGTAGCTGTTTTGTGAGCCCACATTTCATTGCAGCTGCAAATCCTTGGGTAACCTCACCGGCATTTGGTCCAAGAATATGAAATCCTATCACCCGATCCTTTAATACAGAAACAAAACAAAGAGAATCCCTGTAGGTTAATGGTCTGAATACAGATCCATTCACTGCAAGTTCACAGTTAAAATATACAGTATCTACTACAGAAAAAGAACTTCAATGTCAAAGTGAGCAGAGAACATTACCATGAAACTAAGCCACTGTAAGAGTCTGTTAAATGAGCCAGTAAATGCACATCCAGAGTTAATTTGCACTCAAATTTACTAGAACAAACAATTTACCCACTGCATGAAGGACTTCATTAGTATGATGTAAATTTCCAAATTATGCTGAGACAATGCGCAACAACAACATAACAAATCTGAATTAAAGTCCAACACTGGAATAACTCTGGGGCAGCAGGTTTTACTGGAAATAAGAGGTTGTTGGCCCAGGAAGCAAGATGCCCTGTTCCCAACATCAAGTAGAGACAAAGGAGAGGCTGGTGCAGGGCTGCCACCCTGTGTGCTGAGAGGTATGGGGTGCAGGCAAAGAGCTGACCCACCGAGATGGGAAGCAAGATGTGCAGTCATTTTCCACAGTAATGGTGCATTCTAGGCTGTCCATTTGTCAATGTTCCTTCATAGCATTATCCTTCACTGTGATCTTCAACAGTAAAAGCATACAAGAGATGAAGAGAAAGACTATAAAAGGGCAACAGAGGCCAGAGCCAGGAGAAATCCTTGCCTACTGAGTTTCTGAAAAAAGCAACAGCTCAGAATCGTCATACACATCTGCATCTGCTAGCGGGCACTCCAGAGGGGAGGCAGGCAGAAGCTGCCTGGGCTGGGGCTTCAGAGTAAGTTCCCAGGGCCCATGGAAGACTACTGCATTGGAACCTGAGGTGGTTGGTGGGTTGCTCAGCAAACAGAAAAGCGGGGTGGCTCAGAGCAAAGTAAGGACACTTGGTGAGAATCTCCACTGATAACTGTAAATGAAGGTCATGAGTGAGGGAAGTCTCACTTACAATTTTGACCTTAGAGCTGGAATCAAGTATTCCCATTTCATAAGTTCGAGGGTTCTGCTCAAGAAATAGGCATGTGGCCAGGGTAAAGGAAAGGGACACAATCCCCATGGTTAAAAAGCAAGGCCAAGAGTGTGGCCTGGGGACCTGGGCGGGAGCCAGAGGGGTGGCGTGGGACATAGCAGAGGGGCTCAGAGATGGGAAACGGGGCTGACAGCCACAGAGGTGCAGCCCACACCCTCATGAGGAGGTCAGAACTAGCATGACGGCTGCAAGTCCCACCTTCAGCAGTGGCTCTCTCATCAAACCCCAACCGTCTCACTTTCGGAGAGTAACAATGTGTAGTCTCTCCCTGCTCCCTTTGGAAAGGCCGCCCACAACTGCCAAAAATTGACCTCAGATAACTCTGTCCCAAAGAATCAGGATGTAGCCCAGCACATAAGCATCCATCCTTAGGAGCACAGCTGCGAACTTGCCCAACCTGGAGGATTTCAGGGCCATTATGATCACCATCCCTGTCACTGCCCTGTAGCCATGTGCAACTACCAAGAGACTAAGCCCTAGAGCTCTGGATGACTTCATCATTCAGGCAAAAGAGCACATGCTAATGGGCTACTAGCCTGGGACACGCTGTTTTCTGTTATACTGAAAATAAGATAAATACAGAGATGTGAGAATTAAACAAGATAATGACTGCTGTTCAGTAAACTTTTATGTAAATGTCACTTGTTACAGTTCATATTTATCTATTTGTATGTTTCCTCTCCCCAGATAGATGATAAACTCTTCAAGAAAAGAACCAAGTCTTAACACTGCTTTCTACATTCAGAATTCTTTATAAAGCAAATTATAAATAAACTGTGCTTTAAACTACGCTACTGAGGAAGGCTGTTAACCATTTTGATGCTCGCCACTGGTAACTGGGAGGAGGAAAGCCTCCAGTAATGGGCTGCTGCTTTAGTGAAAGCATCAGGTATTAGCTCAGTAAGTCAAGTTTCACTTTGTGTGAACATCTCCATCTAAAGACTTTTGACACACATTCAGTCTGTTTATAAAATGCATACATACAACTTACTATTTGATGACCAAAATTTTCACAGATCTTCTAGTTCTAAACTATCAAGTTTAAACTATCAGGCTATCAAGATGGCCCTGGGAAAAGGCAGCTTTCAGTGATGTATTTTGAGTGGACACTGGTAGGGCTCAATCACAAACTATCACTGCTCAGCCTCTGTGACATGTTAACTAAATGACAACAAGGAGGTGCTCTGAATTGTCCTGAAAGCTACCTTAGAAAGATTATAAAAACGGAGCAGTCCCAGCTGCTCACAAGGCTGAAGCAGGAGGATCACTTGAGGTCAGGAGTTGGAGACCAGCCTGGGCAACATGGCAAGATTCCGTCTCCAAAAAAAAAAAGAAAAAAAATTATAGAAATCCAAATACTAGAAATAAAAACTACATTTAAATATCACAGCATTTTGGCTTCTAGTGGTATTACATACATGGTCTAATTTATTGCAGATTATCTTTGCGTAACAAGTGTTGTTCTCTCTGCCAGCTACTGTCCATTCAAGAGGCCAGAACAAAGTATGATATATCTGGAAGATAAAAGAGAGAAAAAGGGCAGAATTAACATATATGGAAACCATTCTTTGATAGGCTCTTTAATTCTATAAAGGCAATAATCTCCATAGCAGCTTTCAGAAATTTAAAGTTCAGTGACCCCAACTTTATGTATCTGTTAGGAGCCCCGGGGTCAAGCCTCCTGAAATGCTAGCTGCATACATGTGTTGGCTGTTGTTTTACTTGCTTGGCTGTAAGTCCAAGCAAAAATCCACAAACAAAATCTAGTTTTCAAACATGTATAGAGTACCAGCAACCCAAGGCAGAGCACCAGGCACAGGTTCTCGTGTGGGCTGCAGAGTTGAAGACTGAGATCCTGACGTCAAAGCTGACCCTGATAACAGGGCTCATGTTCCAGCAAACTTAAGGAGGAGCAGAAGAAATAAAACAGCTCCAGTCATTTAGAGCTCCAGAACATAGCGATGGGAGAGCGGGAATCATGTCTCTCACATTTCTGTCCCCAGGCCCTCACGCCAGTGCCTCTATGCCTCTTCAATCTGGCTCAGTCTTCTAAGAACCAGAATAAAATGCCATGTGCCCTCTCTCCAGCTTGGGGTTGCTGTGGTCTCCCAGTGTTGTAGTTCTGAATCACTCCGTACACAAACGGGCAGTTAATGCTGGGTGACAGAATTGGAAATGTAGTATGAACAATAATCCACAATGGATGGATTTAAATTTTAAAATACCACCCAGAAATAATCATTTTGAATGTTAGGGAAAAGCATCAATTGCTGGTGCATGTAGAGTTAAAACAAAATTTTTATTAAGGAGGTATCACAATATACAGTTACTTGTAGCCAAAAAAAAAAAAAATTGATTTAACTTGTTTTTAACAGAAGAGAAATAAACTCTTCTACCCATTTTTTGTTTGTTTGTTTTGAGACAGGGTCTCACTTTGTCACCCAAGCTGGAGTACAGTGGTGAGATCTTGGCTCACTGCAGCCTTGACTGCTGAGGTTTGAGCAATCCTCCTGCCTCAGTCCCTAAGTAGCTGAGACTACAGGTGCGCGTCTCCACACCTGGCTAATTTTTGTATTTTTTTGTAGAGATGGGGTGTTGCCATGTTGCCCAGGCTTGTCTCAAACTCCTGAGCTCAAGTGACCCACCTGCCTCAGCCTCCCAAAACGCGAGGATTACAGGTGTGAGTCACCACCTCCCACCACTTCTACCTATTTTAATACAAACTTTTTAATCTCTGCAGCTACTAAAAACAGAAATGTTTCTTTATCTTAGAATATACTTTCCTAAAAACACACCTCTAAGGTTAAAAAGAGATGGTACAAACTCTTACCAGGTTTGTTGTTGTTGTTGTTGTTGTTGTTTTTTGTGAGACAGAGTCTCACTCTTTCGCCCAGGCTGGAGTGCAATGGCACGAACTTGGCTCACTGCAAGCTCCGCCTCCTGATTTCTCTTACCAGGTTTTAAACATGATTTTTAAAACAGTAAGCTACTATTTCTGATGTGTTCTATCACTTCTGCTATGAAGCAAGGAGGTGAACAGTCACACTTCCCCCCATCTCCTTGCATTCTTTCACTGGTTTTGTCAAATGTGGTTTTTCCTTCTAGCACTTTGAAGATTTTACTGTATTTAAATTTCTTACCCTTCTGGTTCAAAGTGGATGTGAAATGTGGATCCAACTTCCAACTTTATATTTTTCCTTAATAGCTACCCACTTATTCTGGCACCCTTTAATGGATGGCCTGTGTTTTTACTATGGATTTAAAATATGACCTTATCACATACTAATTCTTACGAGCATTTGAATCCATTTCTGGGTTTCACATTCTGTTCTACTGATCTTGCTGTCCATCTGTGCGCCACTGCTGCACAACTAAGCACTGCAGCCATGTGGTAAAGTTTCATATTTAATTAGGGCTCCCCTCATTATTCTTGAAGTCTTTTTATCAACTTATGCACAATTACTGACATAATTTTCAAAGCTCTGCTGTGGAAAACAGTGATCTCTGATCCCACCTATTTCAATGAACCTAGAGGCCACCATGTTCAACCTCTTTTATTTAATCATTTGGGTATTTACCTCTATGTTTCTAAATAACATGCTTATATTGCTACTGCCTGACTTTCCTATTTTAGGCTTTATTTATTGATTTGGCTCTATGCAAGAGCAAGATGAGCTCTCTTCCCTGGCCCCTAGAACTCACTCTAGCTCCTTCCTGCCCTTCCCATCCCCATCTTCCCAATACAGTTATATACTCTTAGCTACCACAGTTACCAGTGTTTCCTTTACTATGTAAAAGCTATTGACAGACAACTTGAAAGCAACAAGCAAAGGATGAAGCTGCACCCTTAGCTTGCACATTGACAAACACTAACTCAAAATGGACCACAGACCTAAATGCACTCACACTTCCTCCCATCTCCAGTCATGCACAGCATGTGTTGCAAAACAATGCTGGTCTACGATGGACAGCATATATGACTGTGGTCCCATAACATTAAAATGGAGCTGAAAAATTCCTGCCACTTAGTGACATTATAGCCATTGCAACATCATAGTGCAGCACATTACTCACTATTTGTGGTGATGCTGATACCGCACTGCCAATCTCCAACAGTCTAGCATATATAATCATGTACAGTACATAATACTTGATAAAGATAATAAATGTGAAATGACTATGATACTGATTTATGTATTTATTATACCACACATTCTACTATTATTTTAGAAAGTACTCCTTCAACTCATAAATTAACTGTGAAACTGCCTCAGGCAGGTCCTTCAGGAGGTATCCAGAAGAAGGCATTGTCATCATAGGAGGTAACAGCTCCACGTGTGTTACTGCCCTGGGACAGGATGTGGTGGGAGAAGACGGTGACATTGATGTTTCTGACCCTGTGTAGGCCTAGGCTAATGTGTGTGTTTGTGTTTTCATTTTTTATAAACAAGAAGTAAAAAAAAAAAAAAAAAGAAAGAAAAAAGCTTATAGAATAAGGATATAAAGAAAGAAAATATTTTGTACAGCTGTACAATGTGTTTGTGTTTCTCTATAATGGGAACTTTAAAAAAATATTAACATCACATTTTAAGTCCTGTCAAAAAGCAACAAATAAATAAATAAAACAGGTGAGTTGATCTGCAGCAAACCTTGGTGAAAAGACCTTAAAGTAATCCCAAAAACTTGGGGAACTTGTTTCCTATAAAGATATTCCTTTGTCTGGGACACAGCCTTCTACATCCTTCCTGTCATGTGCCTGACATCTTTCTACCTTAATTTTTCATTAATTTCAGAAACTTTTAAAACTAAATGTTAAATCCATAATTATTATCATCGATTTTCCAAGACCAATGCAAAAAGGATAGCTTATTATTATATAAAGAGTTAATTAAAAAACTCTGATAAAATGTTCCCTAAAATGTAAATTTCAAAAATAACCATCTAAAGTAACATAAGGTTTTAATTACACATTTCCCCAGCACCAGAAATTTAAATAGGAGTTTCTTAAATCCTTAGGCCATTTAACTAGGGAATATCAGTGCTATCATTTAAATAAATTCCCAATAATAAATCATACAACTAAACTGCCTTCAAGGAAAAGGACTATGATTTCAATTCTCTTTTACTTGAAATATCAAGTATTAATAACCCTCCAATTCTTTTTAACTCTCTCTCTCCCGCCTGTGTTGGAAGAGTGGGCAGAAAAAAGTCAATCAAACTTCCCAGCAAGAAACAATGTAAGAAAATATTTTTAAGACTATAATTGGACAGGGTTAGGGTGTAAAGGAGAGGTAGCAATAAAGGTGTGTAGAGGGCATCCTTTTGGAAATCTGAAGAGCCCACAGGCAGACAACCCTGGAACTTCCCACCTTACCACCCATAGCCATTCCTACTCCTGCATTCCCAAAAGATCTTAAAATAACTTTGAGCTTCCTTGTATAAGTTTGCTCAAATAGATTTTTGTTACTTGTAATTCAAGTGTCCTGACTTACAGATTACACTCTCCTCTTTCCCAACCATATTATTCTTGTTTGCTAGACAGACAGGGTTTAAATTAATTGCTAATTTTCCTAAAATAGGAATATGATTTCCTACAATATAATGATCACAGTAACTTGCAAATTGCTGAAATAAAACATGACCGCAAAGAAAAATTGTTGATTAAAAGAGATTGTTTTTAAGGAAGTAATAAAACACAATCTTACTTCTAGATTCTCTTTTTTATATACTTCAATAGCTTTTTCTTCAGCTAATCCGCAGCAACCATACTCCAGAGGAGTAAACACCGTAGTCGGAACATTAATATAATCACACTGAAAGATAAACAAATTACATTGTTTTATTTTGTGAAACTTTACAGCAAAAATCTATATTACATATATTTATATAAAGAAAATAAATGAGTCCAGTTCAGTGTAACTGATTCTTAAAACATCAACAGCTTCAGGAAAATTCTAAGGTACCTTAACAGAGACCTGGGATGGGCCCCTGACTCAGGGGAAGAGACCACACACTGGCCAGCCACCAACAAACGGGACCGGCTCTCCTGGAGCACAGACTCAGAGGTCTAAAAACCAGGAGGAGGTGGAGGTAGTGCCACCCATCTGCCCCTAAAGACACTCTCCAAAATGTTTTCTTTCCATGCCCATGATTCTGGGCTCTGCTATCCTGGAGCACTTCTTCCAAGCAACCTTGAATTATGCTACTTCACTGGAAGCTGAGACCACCTCTTTGCCATTTCATATTCCTTATGCCACTGAGAGGCGAGGCAAGTATGCAGCTCAACGGTGCTGGACTGAGTGTTCCTGACCATCAAAGCGGGATGGTACGCGTGTGAGTGTGTCTGGAGGGGGGTGCTAATATACGGCAGGGACAAGGATGACCATAGGTCATCTCTGTAGTCCAGGGGTTAAGAAAGAACTATCTCCAGAGCCTTTATCAGACTGAGTCAGAGAAGAACGGACATTACAATGTGGCACTCCTGCCTAGGAGAGGCCCCAACTTGGGAGAAGAGAGGGTCTCTCTGGCTGTGTGGAGAGGACCTGGAATACTTTGGTGGGTGAACCATGAGACCGTGTGCATGGACAGAAAGCTGTGTGTAGGTGGCAGAGAAAAGGTGGAAAGTGCCTGCCCAGTCACAGTCCCTTCAAAGGACACCACCATCCACAGCACTGTATGTTCCCCAACCCCTGCCAGTGGCCACAAGTGATCAGACTAGGGACAGCCATCTGATCTCACAAGAGCCAACACAAGCTGGGGCAGAAATCTACGAAATGGCAGAAAAAGGTGGGCTGAGTCAATCCAATTCTTTCTTTTGTAGGAAAATTAACTAGAGGCAAAGAAAATTTTCCAGGTGGTAGAGGAATGGGAAGAAATGGACCTGCAGAGTTGTCGCCAAGTTAGGCCAAGGAAGATCACATCTCTACAAACCCCCCACTGTGTGCTGGGCCCCAGAGCAGCTGGGACCTCACCTCCAAATGCAGGCAGGCCCAGCCCTAGTATAGTTCTCTTTCGAGGTTCCTCTGAGATTCTACCTATTAATCCCAGGATTCTTACAGTAACCTCCCTCAGTTTGCCTAGTTTGAGTGAGCTTCTACTGTTTGTTACCCCAAAGAAAACCAAAACACCACCAGGTATCTCCCGAATCAATGAAAGGATTTGCATACAACACAGGTAAGTTCTCCAATTAGCCTAGATTCTTATGCTCTCATGCCACTTCATGTTTGCCTACCTGCAAACCATGGGTAAGCCAAGCATTTATTTTCTTTTCCCAACATGGCTGAGAAAAATCACATAACTATGTGAACTGCCTGGGTATTTTCTGACTTCTCTGAGGCACTCACATGTTGCCAATCCATTTATTGACTGGTAACTGACCCCAGATTCCATAGCTTACATGGGAGGCCTCATTCTTAACAGATGCCTTTGTTTCCTGTTTCATATCAATTAAGAAAAATAAACAGGAAATGGCTCAACTTTGCCCCTTTCTCCTAAAAACCTTCTCCACATCTTAGACCATCTCCTCCACCTGGACTTGACTCATGCTACCCTTTTCCTAGGCTTCTTTCCATCTTGTGCCTTTCATCTCTTACTTTATACTCTACACATATTGCTCCATATTCTAATCCCTCCTCCCCACAGTCACCATGATCAACTCCTTACAGCATTAGGCAACTGCTCTGCCGACATATACCCCAAAATGTTATTTGCAGTTGAGATAATTCCTTGCACATTTAGCATTCCTGGCCCCCATCCATTAATGCCAGCAGAGCCCCCTCCCCAGTGGCCGGCCTCATGCACCAAATACACCCACCCACAAGGTCTCCATGCAAGGCCTTGGCAGATACCTGGGGGATGAAGCAAAGCAGCACATAGCATTCCTCATGAAGAATCCATGCCCAAACCTCTTCATCTGAACACACTCATGCAAAAACAATTGGAGAAATTCAGAATGTGGGACATTCTACAAGAAAAGTAACCTGGATTCATCAAAAAGTCAGAGTTAAGAACTGGAATAAGACAAGGATGCCCACTGTCACCAGTCTTATTCAACACAGTACTAGAAGTCCTAGCCAGAGCAGTCAGTATGAGAAAGAAAGAACGGGCATCCAAAATGGGAAAACAGGAAGTGAAATTGTCCCTCTTTGCAGACAATATGATCTCATATGTAGAAAAACCTAAAGATTCCACCAAAAACTCTTAGAACTGATAAATGAATTCAGTGAAGTTGCAGGATACAAAAATCAACATACAAAAATCAGTAGTGTTTCTATACACCAACAACAAACTGAAAAAGAAATCAATAAAGCAATTCTATTTACAATAGCTACAAAAATAAAATAAAATATTTAGGAATAAATTGAATCAAGTAGGTGAAACCACTCTACAATGAAAACTGCAAAACACTGGTGAAAGAAACTGAAGAAGATACAAAAATATAGAAAGATATCCCATGTTCATGGATTGGATTAACATTGTTAAAATGACCATACTACTCAAAGCAATCTACAGATTTGATCCAATCTCTATCAAAATACCAATGACAATCTTCACAGTAGTAGAAAAAAAATCTTAAAATTTTCATGAAACCACAAAAGATGCCAAAAAGCCAAAGTAATACTGAACAAAAAGAATCAAGCTGGAGGCATTACACTACCCAATTTCAAAATATACTACAAGTTATAGTACCCAAAACAGCATGATAGTAATACGAAAACAGACACATAGACTATGGAACAGAACAGTGAACTCAGAAATAAAACCATGTATTTGCAGCTAACTAATTTTTGACAAAGGCACCAAGAACATACACTGGAGAAAGGACACCATCTTTAGTAAATAGTAGTGGGAAAACAGTATATGTAGAAGAATGAAACTGGACCTCTGTATCTCACCACGTGGAAAAATCAATTCAAAATGAATTAAAGACGTAAATATAAGGCCCCAAATTATAAAACTACTAGAGGAAAACAGGAGAAATCCTTCTGGACACTGGTCTAGGCAAAGATTTTATAGCTAAGACCTCAAAAACACAGGCAACAAAATGAAAACAGACAAATGAGACTGTATCAAACTAAGAAGCTTCTGTAATCAGTAAAGGAAACAATCAACAGAGTAAATAGACAACCTGTAAAACGGGAGAAAGTATTTGTAAACTATCCATCTGAGAAGGTACTAATATCCCTATACAAGGAACTCAAACAACTCAGAGCAAAAAAAAGAATCTGATTTAAAAATGGGCAAAGGATCTGAATAGATGTTTTTCGTAAGACATACATATGGGCAACAAGTATATGAAAAAATGCTCAGTATCACTAATCATCAGGAAAATGCAAATCAAAGCCACAATGAGATACCATATCCTGATTAGAATGGCTATTATCAAAAAGACAAAAAATAACAAAGGCTGGTGAGGATGTAGAAAAAGGTGAACTCTTACACACTGTTAGTGAGAATGGAAACTAGCACAGCCACTATGGAACACAGTATGGAGGGTCTTCAAAATACTAAAAATAGAACCCCCATAGGATCCAGCAATCCCAGTACTAATATTTATCCAAAGGAAAGAATCAGTGTATCAAAAAGATATCTGCACACCCATGTTTACTGCAGCACTATTCAAAACAGGAAAAATATGGACTCAATCTAAGCATCCATAATGGATGAATGGATAAATAAAACGTACTATATAAACACAATGAAATACTATTCAGCAATACAGAATAAAATCCGATCCTTCACAGCAACATGAATGAGCCTGGAAGACATTATATTAATGAAATAAGCTGGGCACAGAAAGACAAATACTGCATGTTGTCACTCACATGTGGGAGTTAAAAAAGCTGGAGAGGTTGGTTAACAGACACAAAATTACAGCTAAACAGAAGGAGTTAAGTCCTACTGCTTTACAACACTGTAGAGAGAACATAATTCACAAGAATTCATTGCATATTTCCAAAAAGTTAAAAGAGGATATAACAGAATGTTCCCACACAAATAAATGACAAATGTTTGAGGTAATAGATATGCTAACTACCCTGATTTGATCATTACACATTGTATCTGTGTATCAAAATATCACTCTGTATCCCATAAATATGTACAATCATTATGTGTCAACTAAAAATAAAAGGAAAAAAGTCAGAGTCGTAAAAAATAAAAAACAAATAAAGGCAGGGAGACTGTATCAGACTAAGAGACTTAAGCGTCATAAGAGCCACATGTACTGTGCGAACCAAAACACACACACTCTTAAGGAACAACTGAGGAAATGAGTATTATAGTACTTTTATTGAACTTCTCAGATATGGCAATGGAACTGTATTTACGGAGGTAAACATCTTTGTACTTAGGAGGTATATGCTGAAGTAGTTAGGGACAAATGTCATTGATGTCTGCCATTTCAAAAAGTGGCAGCAAAAAAGCTCAGCAAAAGAAAAAAGGAATATTAACTACACATACACATATTCAGAAAAGGAGAGACAGAACAAAAACAGCAAGATGTGAATAACTGGGGAATCTGGGTGAAAGGTTCAATATAGGCAATTGTTTTAGTAGTCTTTCTGTCTTTTGACATCTTTCTAAATAAAAGTTGGGGGACATAAAGGTCTCAACAGATCCCTACTGCCTAGAGAAGGCCCTACCAATTCTTCTTTGTCGCAAAGATTTTTGATGATCTGGCACTAAATTAGTTTTCTGACCTCCTTTCCAATTGTACTTCCCTATCACCAGCTACTCTGCCTACACACATTCCAAAATGTTCTATTGCACTGTGTTTGGGACAATTTTTCTTTGCATGAGATGGTACACTCAGCATTCCTGACCTCACCCACTAATGCAGCAGGGCCCTTCCCCAGTCATCCGTCTCCCACCAACTCTACCACATGGCCACAGACAGAGCTCCTGATGGAGCTGAGCAGTACTTCCCCAGCTGAAAGCTCCTGGGACACTACTCATAGTCCTTAGCACAAGCCAAGCACTACAGGTCTCTGTTTTTTTAGCCAAGCTATCTGCCCACCTGAAAAGTCCTTTGCTTCCTCAGTTTTGAATTACTCATCCTATAAAGCTCATTCCAAATATTTGATTTAAAAATATGAAAAGTGGAAATCCTCTGTAGAAATCATCTGATTCACATCCTTGGCTTTGCAGATGATGAAACTAAGGTCCTCAGAAGTTAAACAACCTGACCATATTTACAGGCCAAGTGGGCACTGAAGCCAGGACCAGAATCCTGACTCATGCCAAGAGCTCCTATGCTATTACAGCGCAACAGTCCACTTATGAAGGTTTTCCCCCTCCCTGCAGCTAGAATTAAACAATCCCTTCAGTGTCCCTAGAGCAACCTGCAGACAGCACTCTGGCACACAACCATACTCTGTCTTCTGTTCAGTCTGTGCCTGCCTGACTCATGATCATGATAAGCCCCTGGGGCTGACCATGGCCAGTGCTTTGTGTATCACCCAGCACAATATCTTGCACACAGTGGACACTCAAAAATATTTATTTTAATCCATTAGTAAATAGTAAGTCTACTGCAAATTATATCTCTGAGGAACCCTTCACTGGGAAAACAAGCACACAAGTTTTACTTGTATTAGTTTTAAAAATCATGACCTTGATCAAGATATTATCTCAAAAACAGCAGAAACTTACCTTTTCTAAAGAGGCCCCAAAAAGTCTCCGAGCTAGCAGCTTGCCTGACTGTATGGCGACAGGAGTGAGCTCTGGCTTACCCTCCGAAACATCCCCAACAGCATAGACATATGGCACACTGGTCTGTTCCACATCATTTACAGGTATTTTTCCACTCCTATTAGTTTTTGAAATGGGAAAAAAATATATTACAACTCACTCTACACTTCTAGGTGACTAACACTATTAGCCAAAAGACTAAATACATAGAGAAAAGACCTCTCTTAAAACTCATGCACCTCAGGATATCAATTATCTATAAGGTCAATGACTTAACGTAACAAGGGTTTCTGTAGCTCCAAAAGAAAATATCTCTGGTGAAACCACGGGCATTTCCCGGACGCCTAGGATATCTGCAGACTGCCTCCACAGACTTACTTAGAGCTTTGGAGTTTATCTCTTTGCCTGACCAAGGACATAAAGATGCGTTCTAAATCACAGACATTAGGTGAATATATCTCTGCAATTATTTCTTAAAGTCATCGTCCAATATATGAGCTTTTAAAGGCATGCAATAAGAGTTACTGATTGACGAAGAAATTGATTATAAAGAGCTGGTACTGAACTTATAAGATAAATTAAGATATATCTCAGTAATTAAATGAGAATTTCTTAGAGGTGACCTGCAGAAACCTGTTGCTTTGTGCAGCTACAGTGCAATGATCCCAATATACTTACTTCTCATTAATTTTGACACCAATCTTCTCCAAGCCCATTTTCCTTGTACAGGAGTCACGACCAATAGCTAACAAAACCTGCATTTGGAGAGAAATCAAAAATACAAATTATCCATATCAGGAATGAAAGAAGGAACATCACTATAGATCCTTCAGACATTAAAAGGGTAATAATAGAATATTACAAACAATCGACGCCAATAAATCTGACAGCTTAAGGTAAAATAGAGTCCTTAAAAGACACAACTTACCAAACTTACACAAGTCTGAAAAGCCTACAGACTACATTATGTACCTTCAAAATTCATATGCTGAAATCCTATCTGCAAGTACCTCCGAGGGTGACTATATTTGGAGACAGAGCCTTTACAGAGGTAATTAAGGTAAAATAGGTCATATGGGTGTGCCTTAATCCAGTATGACTGGTGTGCTTATAAGAAGAGGAGGACATGGGCAACACAGACCAAAGGACGACCATGTGAGGACACAAGGAGAAGACAGTCATGTACAAGCCTAGGAGACGGGCCTCAGAAGAAACCAATCCTGTCAACACCTTGATCTTAGACTTTCAGCCTCTAGAACTGTGAGAAATACATTTCTATTGTTTAGGACCCCCGGTCTGTGGTACTCTTCCAGAACCGTGAGAAAATAAATGTTGATTAAGCCACCCAGTTTGCGGTATTTTGCTATGGCAGCCCTGGCAAACTAATATGCCCTATACCGTTAAAGAAACTGAATTCTCAATTTGTAAACTTCTCATAAATTAATTCTAGACCCAGATAGCTTCTCTAGGAAAGTCTATGGAATACTTCAGTAAGAAATAATGCTAATGGTATAAAAACTCTTCCAGGAAAGAAAGAGGAAAAGGTAGCACTTCTCAACTCCTTTTTTATGAGGCCAGTATAAACAGCTGACACCAAAATCAGACAAGGGCATTAAAAGAAAAGAAATTCACAAGGCAACACTCCTCATGAATATAGATGTAAAATCCTTAATGAAATGTTAGCAAATCAAATATAGCAATATATAAAAAGGATAATTGTTTGTGACCAAGTAAGTTTGTCCCCAGAAAGCAAATCTGGTTTAACATACAAAAATCCATCAATGTAATTCATCATATTAACAGAATAAAGAGAAAACAATTCAATCATCTCAACAGATGCAATAAAGCATTTCACAAAATTAAACACTCTTTCATAATTAAAATCTTCAGAATAAAAGAAAAGAAAATTTCCATCACCAGATAAAAGGCATGTGTAGTAAACTTACAGGTCACATCCTGGCAATGATACAAGACTCAATGTTTCACCACTAACACCAGGAACCAGACAGGCATGCCCATTCTCACAATTTCTAATCAACACTGTATTGGAGGTCTTAGCCAGTGAAACAAGTCAAAAAAAAAAAAAAAAAAAAAAAGGATTAAAAGCATGCAGACTGGAAAGGAAGAAACAAAATTGTTTTTATTTGTAGATATGAATCCTAACAAGCTACAAGGTCAATATTAAAAAAAAAAACTGTATTTTTATATACTACCAACCAACCACTTAAAAATGCCATTTGTTACCTTTAAAAACATGAAGTATGTTTAGCAAAATATGTGAAAGACCTCTAGAGTCCAATGATAAAACACTGCTTAGAGGAATTAAGGAATACACAAATAAATGGAAAAACTTATAAGGTTCGTATGTTGGAAAAATCAACATTGTTAAAATGTCAGCTCTTCCAAACTGACTATGGAAAAAAGACAATTCCAGCCAAAATCCCAGCAGACTTTTGTTTCTAGAAATTAAAAAGCTGTCTTTAAAAGTTATATAGAAATGCAAAGAATCTAAACAAAATTAGAGGACTCACTCTACCTGATCTAAGACTTACCACAGAGATTCGGTAATCAAAACAATGTGGTACTGGGGAAAGGACAAATGGTCTATGGGACAGAATGAAGAGTACAGAAATAGGCCCACAGTTAAATGGTCTTTCATTGAAGATTCCAAAGCAATTCAATAGAGAAAGGGAAGTTATCGGGAGAACCCACTCCCGACGTTTAACATGGGTTCTTTTCTATTTCCTAAGTGTCTTGGCTGGGTTGATAAATAAAGGGAAAAGAGCACAAGAGAGAGAAATTTAAAGCTGGGTGTCCAGGGGAGACATCACATGTCGGCAGGATCCGTGATGTTCCCTGAGCCGTAAAACCACCAAGTTTTTATTAGCGATTTTCAAAAGGGGAGGGAGTGCACGAATAGGGTGTGGGTCACAGAAATCACATACTTCACAAGGTAATAAAATATCACAAAGCAAATGGAGGCAGGGTGAGATCACAGGACCACTGGATGAGGTGAAATTAAAATTGCTAATGAAGTTTCAGCAGGCATTGTCATTGACAACATCTTATCAGGAAACAGGGTTTGAGAGCAGATAACCTGTCTGACCACAATTTATTAGGTGGGAATTTTCTCATCCTAATAAGCCTGGGAGCACTATAGGAGACCGGGGCTTATTTCATCCCTTCAGCTTCGACTATAAAAGACAGGATGCCTTAAAAAGGGGACGTCCACAGACCTAACTTCAGGGCGCATTCTCTCTCTCAGGGATGTTCCTTGCTGAGAAAAAGAATTCAGCGATATTTCTCCTATTTGCTTATGAAAGAGGAGAAATATAGCTCTGTTCCGTCCGGCTCACCGGCAGCCAGTTCAAAGTTACCTCTCTTGTTCCCTGAACATCGCTGTTATCCTGTTCTTTTTTTAAGATGCCCAGATTTAATACTGTTCAAACACACATGCTCTACAAACAATTTGTGCAGTTGATACAATTACAGGGTCCTGAGGCGCTATTCATCCTCCTCAGCTTACAAAGAAGACGAGGGAATTAAGAGATTAAATACAGGCATAGGAAATCACAAGGATATTCATTGGGGAAGTGATAAGTGTCCATGAAATCTTCACAATTTATGTTCAGAGATTACAGTAAAGACAGGTGTAAAAAATTATAAAAGTATTAATTTGGGGAACTAATAAATGTACATGAAATCTTCACAATTTATGTTCTTCTGTCATGGCTTCAGTCGGTCCTTCCTTTCAGGGTCCCTGACTTCCTGCAACAGGAAGTCTTTTCAATAAATGGTACTGGATATCCATACGGAAAAAAAAGAACTGCACAGTGAAGCACGTATGCTCTATACAACCCATAACACATGTGATGAGGTAGAAAATAAAGTGGCTGCAGATCTAGGATGTGGCTGTGGAGTGCTTAGTCTTGGAACTGCAATTTAGGAGCCACGTTGCATGTTGGATTTGACATAGATGCAGATGCACTAGGAATAATTAATAGGAATGTGGAAGAGTCTGAATTAACATATGTTGGCATGGTTCAATGTGATGTGTGCTCCTTATCTAATGGAATGTCCAAGTCATTTAATACAACAATTTTGAATACTCCTTTTGGGACCAAAAATAATAAAGGGACAGATATGGCTTTTCCAAAGACTACTTTGGAAATGGCAAGAATAGCAGTATATTCTCTACCCAAATCTTCAACTAGAAGACATGTTCAAAAACAAGCTACAGAATGCAAAATCAAGACAGATGTTATTGCAGAGCTTCGAGATGATCTGCCAGCATCACACAACTTTCAGGAAAAGGAATTAATGGACAGTGAAATGGACCTAATTCAGTTTTCTTTTCAAAAGCCTCCAAAACCAAAAGCAGCTTAAAATCTAATAAAAATGAGTGAGAATTCATTTGTTTACTAAAAAAATTAATTCAAGGTAGATTACGGACTTAAACCTAAAAGCTAAAACTATAAAGCTTCAGGAAGGAAACAACGGGATACTTTCATGACCTTTGGGTTAGTAAAGATTTCTTACAGCACACAGAGAGCATGAACCATAAAGTAAAATACTAATAAAATTGAACTTCATAAAAATTTAAAACTGTTAACCCAAAGATACTACTAAAAAATACATAGGCAAGTCACAGATGTGAAGAAAATATTCAAAATACATATATCTGAAAAAGGAATATGCCCAAGATATATAGAAGCCCTGCAATTCAATAAAAATTCAAACGATCCAACAAGAAAAGGCTGAAGACCTGAACCAACACTTCAAAGAAAAGATACATGAATGGCCAATAAACACATAAAAATTGCTCTACATCATTAGTCATCAGGGAGATGCAAATTAAAGCCATAAGATACCTCTACACATCCACTAGAATGGCTAGAATGGGAAAGTCAGACACCCCTAAAAGTCCTAAGGGTCTGGAACAACCAGGCCTTCACATATAGGTGATGGAAATACAAAATGGCATAATCATTTGGAAACTGTTTGGCAGTTTCTTAAAAAGCAAAAACCATCCCATGATCAAGCAATTTCACTCCTAGGCATTTGTCAAAGATAAATTGAAATATATGTTGGCTGGGAGCAGTGGCTGATGCCTATAATCCCAGCATGTTGAGAGGCCAAGACAGGAGGATTGCTTAAGGCTAGGAGTTCAAGATCAGCCTGGACGATATAGTGAGACCCCATCCGTTAAAAAAAAAAAAAAAGGCTGGGCACGGTGGCTCACACCTATAATCCCAGCACTTTGGGAGGCCGAGGCGGGTGGTTCACGAGGTCAGGAGATCGAGACCATCCTGGCGAACATGGTGAAACCACGTCTCTACTGAAAATACAAAAAAAGTAGCCGAGCGTGGTGGTGGGTGCCTGTAGTCCCAGCTTCTAGGGAGGCTGAGGCAGTAGAATAGCGCTAACCCAGGAGGTGGTGGAGCTTGCAGTGAGTGGAGATTGTGCCACTGCACTCCAGCCTGGGCGACAGAGCGAAACTCGGTCTCAAAAAAAAAAAAAAAAAAATTAGCCAGGCATGGTGGCATGTGCCTGTGGTCCTAGCAACTAGGGAAGCTGAGGTGGGAGGATCATTTGAGCCAAGGAGTTGGAGGCTGCAGTGAGCCTTGATCTCACCACTGCACTCCAGCCTCAGTGACAGAGTGAAACCATCTCTTTCTACATATCTCCCCATAAAAAGCTTTCCACAAAGAATCTTCACAGCAGTTTTAATCACAATAGTCCAAACTGCAAAGAGCCTGGTTATCTATCCACAGGAAAATGAATAAACTGCTACATTAATAAAATCTATACAATAAAAAGAACTACTGATGCACACAACACGGATGACTCCTAAAAACACCAATCTGAATAAAAGAAGCCAGATACAAGGAATATATACTGTACAACTCCACTTATATGACATTTAGAGGCAAACCAAACAAAATGAGTCTATGGTGACAGAATCAGAATAGTGGTTGCTTGGGGGTCGATGAAGCACAGAGTGCTTTCTGGACTCACAGAAATGTTCTGTTACCTAAAGGAGTGTGGATTACATGGAATGTGGACATCTGTCAAAACTGACTGAACTGTACACTTAGGATCTGTGCATTTCACTACATGAACATTATACCTCATTACAAAAATAACCAATTTACAGTTAGATATTATGGACAACTTCATACCAATATATTTGAAAACTCAGATGAAATGGACTAATTTCTGGAAAAAATATAACTAATCAAAAGTAAATCAAGGAAAAAATAAAAAGACTTAAAAGTCCTTTGACTATTAAAGAAATTAATCAGTGGTCAAATATATCTCCACAGAAAATTGTATGGGTAGACAGTTGCATCAGTGAGTTCTATCAAACATACAAGGAACCAATTCTAATGTTACAAGAACTTTGTCAGATAACAGGAAATGAGGAAACATACTCCAAACTTCTTTCATGAGCAGGAATACCTTGATACTCAAACCTAAAATTAAAATCTTTAATATATAAAAGGAAAATTACAAGCCAATATGATTCATAAATATAAATTTATAAATTCTAAATAACGAAGTCCAACATTACCAAGTTGGGTTTATACAAAGGATACAAAGTTGGTTGAATATTAGAAAATCAATGCAATTCAACAAATTAACAGATTAAGGAAAAAATTCATCATCCACAGCTGCAAAAGAAACACTGTTATAACTGAACATCCATTCCTTTTAAAATATACAAAACAACATAAACAAAAAAGACACTTAGGAAACAAAAAACAGAAAAGGAGTTCCTTAACTTGATTAATAGCATATAACAAAACCCTACAGAAAACATTGGTTTTTAGTGAAACATCTTTTCTTTTGATGTTGAAAATAAGACAAGACTGCTTGCTATTGCCATTTCTTGTAAGGACTGTACTGGAGGTCCTAACTAATGCATTTATACAAGAAAAAAAGAGAAAACCAGTAAAAAGGAAGAAATAAACTTATTATTCACAAATAAACAAATGTGTACATAGGAAATCTGAAATAATCTAAGGATAAATTTTTCAGTAAGAGTTTAGCAAGATTACTGAATACTAAATCAAAGCACAAAAATAAGCAGCATTTTTATACACTAGAAACAGTTAAAGATAGCGACATTTTCATAAAAACACCATTTGTAACTACATATAAATTACATAAGTACCTAGTAATAAATCTAACAGATATTCTTGAACCCTAAGGAGAAATGTATTAACTTTGCTGGGAATCATTAAAGAAGATCTAAATTAATGGATAGATATACCATGTTCATGGGTGGGAAGACTGAATATTGCAAAGAAGTGTTTCCAAATTTTCCTATATATCCAATCCAATCCTAATCAAAATCTCAATAGGGTTGATTTTTGGATTTTGGTTTTGCTACATGTTTTCTGGCTTTGTTGATGCTCTCTAGGTTGTATTTTTTTAACTGAAAAAATATCTACATAAAAGTATATAAAAACATAAATGTATAGTTTCTGTCAAAACTATAAACTAATTACAAAAGAATTGTTGGCCTCCAAAGTATTCCATGGGTTATTTCCCATTGTTTGGAGATTTTGTACTGTTTGTTTTTGAGAAAGAAAAATAGCTTTGTTGTTGTTTTTCATTAAAAAATATATTCAACATTTATTGCAAAAATATTCAAATTAAGAAACGTATAAAATATCTAATTCTCCAAAAGTAAGCACAAATAACATCTGGATATATGTGCTTCCAAATTTTACGTACAGTCGCATACACATATATTTTACCATGATATTCCTCATGTATTACTGAAAATTCAAATGTCAGCAGCCAAATTATCTTCTCTGATAATGCTCTTACAAAGAATTTAAAAATGTTAAAAAAAAAAGTTAATCCTGGTATAATCTTCCCATAAGTTTCATTTCTGTTAATTTAAGAGTATGTTCAATAACTTAGTAATGATAAAATAAAAACTCACTGTGTTATAGACTCCTTCAATTGTTTCTGTTCCTTCCGTGGATTTAGCCAATACTTTCAGCTTTCCAGGTGAACCTTTCTCCAACTGTTGAATCTAGTAAGAATGAAGAGTATAATGATGCTATCTAAATATGACAAAAAAGAAATGCACAAAAGGGTGTACACTGGTATGTTTGTGCACATTTGTGTGCTTGGTGGTGGTACATATAATAGGTGTTAGTATAGTTAAGGTTTCTGGACAAGGCAGAAATAGAGAAAAGTGGACTGTCACAGATACATTTTGGAGGTAGAAATGAATTGATGAATTAGTTGAGATTGGAGGGAGCAAAAAAAGAGAAATTAAGGGGTATTCCTAGATACTGGCTTAATACACTGTGTTAATTTACTGAGTACTGAGGTGGGCCAGAAAGATTAGCAGGATAATATATCTTTTTTGGTTTTTTTTTTTTTTTTGAGACGGGGTCTCGCTCTGTCACCCAGGGTGGAGTGCAGTGGCGCGATCTCCGCTCACTGCAAGCTCCGCCTCCCGGGTTCACGCCATTCTCTTGCCTCAGCCTCTCAAGTAGCTGGGACTACAGGTGCCCGCTACCATGCCTGGCTAAATTTTTGTATTTTAGTGGAGACAGGGTTTCACCGTGTTAGCCAGGATGGTCTCGATCTCCTGACCTTGTGATCCGCCTGTCTCGGCCTCCCAAAGTGCTGGGATTACAGGCGTGAGCCACCGCGCCTGTAATATATTTAGGTAAAAAATCTAGTTTCATTTTTGTCTTGTTAAATTTGAAATGCTTATGAGAGATTCAAGTAGCAATTTCCAGTAGGCAGGAGTATAAATGAGTGTGGGATTCAGGAGAGACTCTTAAATAGGAGATATAAATATGAGAATCATTAGCATTTAGATGTTTAAAACTATGGGCCTAGAGAAGATCATCCGGGTAATACAAGTGCACAGAAGTGAAGAGGGGCCGGGAGGAAAACAAATGGGTGCTGGAATCTGTAGGTTGAGTAGATGTAGATGGGAAAATATTATAGACTGGGACCACAGAAGCCAGAAAGGAAGGTGCTTCAAATGAAAGGCCAATTTCAGAGCATGCTGCCAAGAGGCCCAATAAGATAAGGACAGAGACATGACCACTGGATTTGATGACAGGAAGTTTGCTAAAAGCCTGACAATCAGTTTCAAAGAAGTGATGGAGATGGAAGCAGCTGACAGTCAGGTAAGTGTGAAATGGAGGCAAGAAATTAGAAGTAGCATGCAGAATTGTTGTTTTTTTGTAAAGGAGAAAGAAAAATAGGGACCCAGCCAGAAGGGCAGGAAGGGTAAGAGAAGGCTTAATTGTTCAAGATGAGAAACAGTGATAAGAATAAGGAAAAAGAAAACTACTAACTGAAGATGGAACATCCTTGAAAAGGTGAAACAAAGTGGGAGATGAGGGAACTCAGCCTCTGAGAAGAGCAAGCACACCTCCTATATCAGAAGAGGATACGAGGGGGCAAATGAGGTTGGCTCTGTAGACTAGGGAGTGGAAACACTGTTTTAACATTATTTGAATACAGACTAATTTATGTAGTGAAATGAAATAAGGTGGGATAAAGTGAAAAGTTAGAGAAAAGAAATTGCAAATGCCATGCTGCCTTACCATCACAGGTATGAATTTCCGTAGGAACTTCACACCATGCTGCTCCATGTAGGAACCCACTTTTTCTGCCATTTCTTGGTCGAAGCCACGGAGAAGGATTGAGCGTACCATAACTGTGACATCTAGGCCAAAGCCAGCCAGAAACCCTGCACACTCCAGGGCGACATAAGAGGCACCCACCACTAATGTTTTGCCAGGGCAGTAAGGCAGAGAAAAAAGGTCATCACTGAAAAATAAAAATTAAAAAAAGAATACCTAGGCAGTAAGAATGAAATGAGTTATTCATGTTTCAGTGTATAATGGTCTTGTGATGACTGAATTATAATTTAGTGCTTGAATGAAGCAACAGCCTTTTGAAATTTGTCATTGAGTCTGCTGTGGAAAGTCTGCTGTGAAAGTATACAAGAAGTATACTTCAGTTTTTTCAAAATCAGACCACAAGCAAGATTTTTAAAAATAAAATAAAATAGTATAGAAAATATCAGACTATAGAAAATATCAGACTATATTATATGTAATAAAAAAAAAAACCTGTTTGTTTCAGAGGTGTATGTATATGCTATGTGAAGGGGTATGTGTTTATTTACCTGAACAAAAAAATGTATTTCTTAGTGTAAGTCGGCTCAAAAAAGTTTGCAAGTCATTGCATACGTGTCCTGTTTGACCACTAAGGAAAATTCCCATGAAATCTAAGTGTTAAGAAGAGTGGTACTGCTCCTCCCCAGCTGGTTCATTTTTATCATAAGAACACTAAACCCTAGAGCTAACTGTATTTACTTCTTTGTTTTGGCCTGTAAGAAGTTTAGAACGAAATTCTCAGGCTACTTGTAGCAATCACCAAGACACATATGGCATATTTTTGTACATAAATTTTGCCACTGGCTTTATTTACCTGACTTTATATTCTCTGTTTCATTACTTTTAGCTATTTAGCTTCTTGCACTGTATATATTTTCATTTGTTAATTGAAGTCTTTTGTGGAATAAGACAGGAAGTAAATAAACTGGAAACATGTCAACATAATTCAATTTATTAACAGTAAAGTTAAAATGGTCTATTTAACCTTACCTAGTAATACAGTATTCTTTATCTCCTTGGATTCCTAAATATCGTGGCCTTTCACCCGTTGCTATGACAAACTGTGCAGCAGTATAATAAGTCTCCTGTCCTTTTTTATTGGTTGCCTTGAAAAAAGAGAAGTAAACTTCACTTACTCAGCAAACACTACAGAATACCAGACACCCTGGACAAAATAGTTACTACCCTCATGGAACTTCTCATTCAACAGGAACAGCAGACATGTGAAAAAGTAATAATGTAATGTGATAAGCACAAGCACAGAAAACGGAAGTCTTTATGAAATATTAACCAAAGCCCCATGGTGAGGGTAGGGGAGTGGACTAGAAAGCCAATCAAGGATGTATTAAAGAAGGAGTAGAGATTTTCAAGCAGAGATAAGAAAAGTGAAATGATAGGAGAGGAATGGAGACCTGGAAGACAGAATAGTGCACACAAAAGCACATGGGCCCAAAAGGAATTGGTGTTTGAAGACTGGAGAGCAGAGTCGTGTCAGAAGTGACATGAAACAGACTAGAGCCAAGTGCGAGGGCCCTTATGTCATCCTAACAGCTTAGGCTATGGGGAACCAACAAAGGTTGCTCACAATTTTTAATTATACAAATAATTCATAAAAACATTTTCATTTAAAAAAATTCAAATACTTTCGGAGGCCGAGGTGGGCAGATCACAAGGTCAAGAGTTCGAGACCAGCCTGGCCAACATGGTGACACCCCCATCTCTACTTAAAAAATACAAAAATTAGCTGGGCATGGTGGTATGCGCCTGCAATCCCAAATATTTGGGAGGCTGCGGTGGGAGAATTACTTGAACCTGGGAGCCGGAGGTTGCAGTGAACCAAGATCACGCCACTGCACTCCATCCTGGGTAACAGAGCAAGAGTGTCTCAAAAAACAAACAAACAAACAAAAAAAAACACACCAAAAAACACAAAAACATTCAAATACTAATGAAGGTATTTAAAGAAGTGTGTTGGCACCTTGAGTGGGATGGAGAACAGAGCCTGGAAAAAGAGCCTTGCTTAGAAGGGCTCTGAAACAGACAAGGAAGTACAGGCTCTGGGGTGAAAGGGAGACTCTGGAGTTTCTTGTCTGCAGACTGGGGATGTGTTAGCATCAGTAAACAAGGAGCCACACAATAGGCAGGCTTGGTTGGGGCTTATTCAACCATCTGTGCCAGGCAATTTGAGAAATAAAACATGCATTTCTGCTGTGTTTCATGTAAATAACATAATTCAAATTGGCCCATATAAGGTTTTAAAGGCTGGCTTTATCTTATTATTATTTTTAACTGACTAAAACACATCATCCAAAATATAGATTATACGGCAAATGATAACAATCGTTAAACCTAGGAATTGAATATTTTGATATTTACTATGCTATGCTCCCAATTTCCTGTTAAATTAAAAAATTTAAATAAAATACTGAAAATAAGCACTGAAGGGTAGCTTTAAATGGACCATACCTCACACGTTTCTGAGATAACAACTGAATACAAAATAATCTAAAATCTTATGAAGATTATCTCACACTGTGCTAACAAAGTACAAAAATAAACTAGATGAGGACAATATCTGATTGTCTGTCATAATTCCAGTGTAAACTGTTTGTGTTCCTCAAAATGATCTCATTTTCCATATGTATTAATCTAATAATATATACATATTACAAAGATAAAAGTATAAAATACACTAATTCTAATGCTACTTTTATCAATGCTTTTATGAATAATATAATATTGGAGTTCTAGTTAAGGTTTCATTTTTAGGCAGGATTCCACTAATAAAATTTTGATCTTTTTAGTCTTTTAAACTTTGAACTGCTTAGTTTAAACATGTTCTCTTTTAAGACGGCAATAAAATCAAAGGCAAATAATTTTAAATTAAGAGTTCTTTAAAACACAATTTCTTCAAGTTAACCAAACATGTAGAATCAACAAACAATGGGGGAGAAACACACACACACATGCATGGCCATGTGTGTGTGTGTGCACGCCTGTTACACTCCTTAACATGCAACATGAAATTTTAGTTCAAGGCAACTACAAACTGTAAAGAAAGGAGATGAACAAGACAAGAAACTCAAGCAATATCTTTATTTGATCTAGAACTAGAAATACCATTTGACCCAGCGATCCCATTACTGGGTATATACCCAAAGGATTATAAATCATGTTACTATAAAGACACATACACATGTATGTTTATTGCAGTCCTACTCACGACAGCAAAGACTTGGAACCAACCCAAATGTCCATCAATGATAGACTGGATTAAGAAAATGTGGCACATATACACTATGGAATACTATGCAGCCATAAAAAAGAATGAGTTCATGTCCTTTGCAGGGACATGGACGAAGCTGGAAACCATCATTCTCAGCAAACTATTGCAAGGACAAAAAACCAAACACTGCATATTCTCACTCATAGGTGAGAACTGAACCATGAGAACACTTGGACACAGGGTGAGGAACATCACACACTGGGGCCTGTCATGGGATGGGGGAAGGGGGGAGGGATAGCATTAGGAGATATACCTAATATAAATGACAAGTTAATGGGTGCAGCACACCAACATGGCACATGTATACATATGTAACAAATCTGCATGTTGTGCACATGTACCCTAGAACTTAAAGCATAATTTAAAAAAAATTTTAAAAATAAAAAATAAACAGTACCTTTATTTTATGATGTTCAACAAATTCTCCATAGGAATTGACATAGGCCACAGCCTTTTCCCTCAGAGACAACCTGTAGCCCCAGTTTAGAGAGCTGATGTGGTTCTGAATCGCTTTTGTCATCGTCTCCCAGTTGTGCTTCACTAAGAAGAAATAATCAGGGTGAAGATGTTAGGTGAATTTTACCTTTAATGGTAAATTATATATAACTACACGTGAGCCATACTAACAGTGCTTTAAAAATCAAGAAGTAGAAAAGATAAATTAGTAACTTAAATATTTTGTATGCCAGTCATAGTTTGTACTCTTCCTATTTTATATTACCAAGAACGTGCAAAAAGCAGAGTTCTGAAAAGAAGAAACCTGGGGAAAAGTCCACAGAGGAGAGAATGGGGAAACTGGCCCTCATGTGGTAATGCCTGCCATGACGTAAGGCAGGAGGCTCACCTCTCCTTGGTGGCACCTCCTAGAACCCTTTCCCACTCCATGGGACCTACTTTACTTGGCCCTTGGATGGGAAGAAGGCTTCAAGTCAGTGAGCTTGGTACACTCACCTCAACAGACTGGTGTGGTTCCACTCTCATTTGGTTCACAGGGCAGTGGTTTCACGACAGTGAATATCTTACATGTCTTTACAACAAATATGGTTTACGCTCACCACTGCCAACTGTCTATATTACAGTGTTTACCCATTCCTTTGGAAGGTGAGGCAGGATTCGGGTGTTATAATTCCACATCATCCCTGTATCTTCTAGGTGGGATTTACCGCATAGTGTTCACCTTGTCTAAAGATGCCAGATCCTGAAGGTCACCCTGTGCAGCTCTATGTTTAAGATGCAGGGGTCAGCCCAGCCAGGGCTTTCATCATAACTGGATGAGATCCCCGAAGACAAACCAACAACCTGAGGTCAAGGGTCACATCTGGAAACTTACCCCATCTACCACTGTCAAGAAATGTCCCCCTACTGATCCAGGGACATGGGATGTTACCATGCAGGAAAGGGAGATGACTGGAGGAGACAGTCAGTGCACAGAGAGGCTTAGCCAATGTCAACACACACAGCCCTTTCTATGATGCCAGTGTACCACAGTCTCCTAAAATTCTGTAACCCAGAATAGTCGTTTTTGTTACTACATTACCTTATCCTCCCACACCCTGTGATGTTGGTTACAATTCCCAAACCTGTCCCAGTGGTGACCACGTCGCCACAATGGCACATATCCTCACATCCTAAAGATACTTCCTCCCCATCCCCCAGAAAAGCTTTTCTTCCAAACCTTAAACTATTTATCCTAAGAATCTTGTCAGCTCAACTAACAGTTCATGTGTCCTTGTTTCTTGTTCTTGTTGCAAAAGGCATCTTAGATTAGAGGCTCTCAAATACAGCTCACATCATAATGGGAATCGTGTTCACCTATACAAATCCCAGGACCTGCCAGAAACTATGGAATCAGGAGTGGGACCCCAGAACCTGTACAGCTAAAAAGCTCCTCCTGGAGTTTTTGATATGCCAAATCGATGAACTGGCACTTTGAAACCACCTGTTCTACTGTTTTATTGATGTGTTTAGTCCTGCAACAGTATAACATTTTTAAATACTGAGAAAGGTCACCCTCTATACTTTCTTAAAGGTTGCTTAGCTATTTTCACATATGTATTTTTCAATACAAATTTTAAAATAATCAGCCAATCTCCAAAAACAAAAAAAAAGTCTCATGGAGATCTTACTGGACTTATATAAAATTTACAAATAATTTTTAAGATACTGTCTTAACAATATTGAGACATCCTCTCTAAAATCATAGTAAATTTGTTATTATGCCTTTATATTCTTTCCTTATATATCCTGTATATTCCTGGTTGAATTTATTTCAAGTTATTTTCCTTTTTTCTTACAATTTTCCATTATACATGTGAGTATGTGTATATATGTATATTATACACATCACACACATATATATACACACATACACATGTATATATACCTGTATACACATAAGCATACACACACACACACACACACATATTTTAAGAGACAGGGTCTCACTCTGTTGACCAAGCTGGAGTGCCATGGCATGCATGGTCTTGGCTCACTACAGCCTTGACCTCCCAGGTCCAAGCAATCCTTCTGCCTCAGCCTCTCAAGTAGCTGGGACTACAGGCATGAGCCACCATGCCCAGCTAATTTTTCTGTTTTTTATTTTTGTAAAGAAGGGGTCTCACTATGTTGCCCAGGCTAGTCTCGAACTCCTCATCTCAAGCAATCTTCCTGCCACAGTCTCACAAAAGCAATCAACTTAACTCATTAGTTCTAATATTTCTTGTTTCATCTCTTATATATTCTACATATGTTGTATATAATGTACAACATAACTCATATTATATATTTAAAATATCTTTTTATTACTCCTTTTCCACACTAATCCAAAGCTCTAAACAGTGCAGATATCAGTAGTGAATGTCGATTCTTGACTTAATTCAAATACCCCAAGTTCTTCTCCCTTAAGTATTTGCTTCTGACTCTTCACCATGAGAAGAGGTATCTCTTTGTTTTCTAAAGCAGGAATGGGTATGAGATTTGTTTGAAACGCCCTCAGAGCTGAAATCCTGGCCTTCGTGCTGATTCTGTGCACTCCTGCTGTGCTATCCTAGGCTGATCCCCGTCCTGCACCCCATGGCGAGCCCTACCCAGTCATGTTTGTTCCTTCGAGACACTACCAGAGATTTACCAATGCTTGTCCTAGAGTTTTGGCACCTCTACAGGGTATAGTTTTCTATTTTTAGACTATCTTTCTGTATTATAGTTATTTCAGCATCCAAAAAAAGGTGGCTTTTCTAAGTCTAGCTTTCCTAGAACAGTGTGAATCAAACTTGTCCAACCTGTGGCCCACAGGCTGCAGGAGGCCCAGGATGGCTTCGAATGTAGATCAACACAAATTTGTAAATTTTCTTAAAACAATAGGTTTCTTTTGAGATTTTTTTTTTTTTTAGTTCATCAGCTATTGTTAGTGTATTTTGTGTGTGGCCCAAGACAATTCTTCTTCCAATGTGGCCCAGGGAAGTCAAAAGATTGGACACCCCTGGTTTAAATTATAGAGGAAGTGTCTGTTACTTGCAGATTCAGAAAAATTTACCTGTAATGCTAATGGTACCTTTTGGGGACTGGGTTATTCTTACACAATGTTTTTTCTTTGATCATTCAAGTCAATTCTGGTCATTTATATTTTTGTAGAAGATATTCCTTTTCATCAAGATATTTAACATTATGACCACTAATTTTTATACTCAATTTGTGGCATCTCTCCCCACGTGTAGTTATACTTCTTTTTTCATGTCTGATGCTGCGTATCTGTATGAGCTTCTCCCCTTATTTCCTTAATTGGATTTGCCAAACATTTGCCTATTTTATTTGTATTTTCAAATATACCCTTGGTTTTGTTTATCAGTTCTATTTGGGAAGGGAGCTAATATTAATTTCTGAGTTTTTCTGTTTGCTTACTTTTTGTTTATATTCTACCTATCTGATACTAACTACCACTGGTATTATTTACATTTTCCTGGTATATTGTTTCCTGCTTAAAAATTTCCCATCTAAAATTTTAAATAGGAAATTCTTTTCTACTTAAAATATAAAATTTCCATATTTTCAACAATTATTTCTTTTGGCTTTAGGTATTTGTCTTAAACATAGCATATGGAAGAATTTTGCCATCTACTAACCCAAAAATCTGACTCATTCGGCTTTATCCTAATAAGTAATATGACTACTCTTATGTAAGGTATCTTATTTTCTGTTGCTATTTTTGTTTGTTTGTTTTAACTTGTAGTTTCATGTTGTTTCCCTTTCTATTTTTTCTTTACTACCTTCTCTTTGTATACTTTCCCTTCTTTTTAAACTTTTACTTGAAAGTTCATTCAGTTTCTAATCTGGAAATTATCTATACATTTTAAACTTATTTTAACCTATATTTCTCTCTCTCTCTTTTTTTTTTTTTTTTTTTTTTTTTTGAGATGGAGTCTCGCTCTGTCACCCAGGCTGGAGAGCAGTGGCATGATCTTGGCTCACTGCAACCTCCACCTCCCGAGTTGAAGCGATTCTCTTGCCTCAGCCTCCCGAGTAGCTGGGACGACAGGCGCATGCCACCATGCCTGGCTAATTTTTTGTATTTTTAGTAGAGACAGGGTTTCATCGTGTTAGCCAGGATGGTCTCGATCTCCTGACCTCGTGATCTGCCTGCCTCGGTCTCCCAAAGTGCTCGGATTACAGGCATAAACCACCGCGTCCGGCCCCTCGCCTCTTTTTTTTTTGGTTTTTGAGGCAAGGTCTCCCTCTGTCGCTCAGGTCACAGTGCAGTGGTGCAATCTCGGGTCACTGTAACCTCTGCCTCTCTGGTTCAAGTGATTCTTCTGCCTCAGTCTCCTGAGCAGCTGGGATTATGGGCACGCATTACCACGACCAGCTAATTTTTGTATTTTTAGTAGAGACGGGTTTTACCATGTTGGCTAGGCTGGTCTCACACTCCTGACCTCAGGTGATCTGCCCACCTCAGTCTCCCAAAGTGCTCAGATTACAGGCGTGAGTCACTGTGTCCAGCCTAGCCTATATTTCTTTATCAATATCAAGAACGTAAGTATCTAGAACATCCTCCCAGAACACAATTTTGGCATCCTTTGACTTCCTCTCTTTTGCTGCTCAGAATCTGTTGACTTCCCTTGGCCCTTTATTGAGTCTATACCTAAATACACCATGTGTTGGCGAGCTAAATATTTCTTAGTCAACCCCCCAAAGCTGACTTAGAAAGCATTTTGGCCAGGCACGGTGGCTCATGTCTGCAATCCCAGCACTTTGGGAGGCCGAGGTGGGCAGATCACCTGAGGTCAGAAGTTCAAGACCAGCCTGGCCAATATGGTGAAACCCCATCTCCACTAAAAATATAAAAATCAGTCGGGTGCAGTGGTGTGCACCTGTAATCACAGCTACTCGGGAGGCTGAGGCAGGAGAATCGCTTGAATGCGGGAGGTAGAGGAACGCAGTGAGCTGAGATCATACCACTGTACTCTAGCTTGGACAACATAGTGAAACTCCTCTATCTCAAAAAAAAAAGAAAAGAAAAAAGAAAAAAGAAAGCATTTTGTATAGGGGGAACTTTGAGGAAGCTAATTATAAGATTTTACCCATTCAAGGAAATTAGAAAGTATTTAGAAATATTCAGCACTTAGAACAGAATTAACATCAATTGACCCCACAGGGGCAGGGAGTGCAGCAAAGCAATGTGTACAGACATCCTGCTATCTCTTCTCTGAGACTGTAAGACAATGAAGAATAGACAAGTAACACATAGAAAGGTCCCCAGCTGGCACAGACCACACAGGTTTGATGTCACCCACACAAGCCACCTCTGCCTGCTGTGTCTCCAACACAGAGTGAGTGCTGTGGTTCACCCTTTACAGCCTCTTCCCTACCAGTGAAGTTTTAGGAGCTTCTCCCCTCTTGGACTCAGTTATTTTTAAAACACTGTATTTATTTTAAAAAGATTTCATAAGTACCTGCCAAGTCAAAATGTGCATAATTCAAATCCCATTCCATTTAGCCTTTCTGCAGCAATTGATTCAGTTAGCGCTCTTTTTAGACTACCTAAGGCCCCAATCATGCCCTTAAGCCAAACCCCTCTTGGCTTCTGTGATTCAACTCTCTTGGTTTTCCTCCTCTTCCTCACCCAGTTACTATAGGTATTAAAATATCTCAGCGTTCTGTCTCTGTTTTCTATGCTTTTCATCTTCCCCAATCCCCCATGTGTTGTACCTCTCACACTCAGTTCTTGCCTAGCTCTCTTTTGGGAACAAATCCTCCCCATACAGCAAACTCTACCAGGATGTTCCCAAGGCACCTGAAGTACAGTGTCCAAGTAAGATGAAGGATTTAGGGAAAAGAAATATTTTTTCTTTTTCGAGACAAGGTCTCATTCTGTTGCCCAGGCTGGAGTGCAGTGGTACAATCAGAGCTCACTGTAGCCTTGACCTCCTTGGACTCAAGCTATCCTCTTACGTCAGCCTCCCAAGTAGCTGGGACTACAGGTGCATGCCACCATGCCTGGATGATTTTTCTATTTTTTGTAGAGACAGAGTCTCACTATGTTGCCCAGGCTGGTCTCAATCTCCTGGGCTTGAATAATCCTCTTATCTCAGTCTCCCAAAGTGCTGGGATTATAGGTGTGAGTCACTATGCCTAACCAGAAGAAGGATTCTTGAAAGTGAATAAAACTACCCCAAAATTACACTGCCAAGTAGGAAGGCCTCACTTTATCTACAACCAGCTGATCCTAGCTTGACCTAAAGCTCTCCATTGAGTTGACTGGAGAAATGTGTCCAGCATCAACCCATTATCCTGAACTCAACCCCACCCTGCCAATAAACAAAAGCTGCCTGTGTTTCCTATCTCAGTGAACGGTATTCCATTTCCCCCTAGTCTCTCTTCCTGCATTCCTTCCTCTCCCTCACTCCATATCCTACCATGACCTGGATGCCCTGTCATAATTACCTGGCTATGGTCAGAACCAGGATCATCTATGATGCTTTAAATGTGCACATTCACTGCCCACATCTACCAGATCAAAATCTCTACAGAAATAGACAAGTGGTTTGTAATTTTTCTGAAAGTCCACAAGACTTTCTGATACACAGCCAAGTCTACATCCAACTGGCCACCACATCTGGTCAATTTTATGCCTTCAACTACCCTCCAACCTGACTTCAGTCTTTGCTCAACCCTCTGTCATTTCTTGCCCCCACTTTCCTATCCTTTCCTCTCTTTTCTAAGTTCCTTAGTGCCATCAAAGGTGTGAAAGTTGTCAGAATCAAAATGGAGGAACTTGTGTAAAAAAAAACCAACTCTCTGACAAACAGAGCTGGGGAAGGCCATGAAGAAAGGGTTTTCTGGTTTCTATGCCTGATAACGAAATCATCACAAAGACTACAAAAACCACAAACTTGACCAAAGGCCATCACAACCTTACATAAAAATACATCTTCCAGGACACCTGCCCAGCAACTGCCTGTCCAACCTCGGACTTGAGTCACCCTAGTTATTGATCCTTGTAGCCAATGATAATCATTTCAAAACAATCATATCATCCTCCTCATTTTTGCGTAGGAAACCCTTGTCTTCCTTTATGTCCCTGAACATGCACATAGTTTACTATGGCACACATATTCCAGCTGCAGTGCCCAATTCCCAAATAAGCATCATTTTCTTTAGGGAGCTTTTTTCTGCTTGCTACTTAGCTTGACAGCGGGACCTGGAATCATAGCCGTGGCTCATGCTCCTCTCCTGCTTCAACTCCCTTCACCTACTCTTCACTCCAGCTGCTACTAACCCCCCAAAACACCATGCTTGCTCACATCTCCATAGCGTTCATCAAACTGCTTCCGGTGTTAAAGGTCCTACTCCTCTGTGACCTTGCCAATGCAGCTCAAGGGTCACATTGTCTGAAGAGCTTTCCCTGACACTCCCCCACCACCCTCAAGGCTACATGGAGCCAATACTGAAAACAGCACGGCTAATTTGAGTGCACTGAGTGGATCTCCTTGTCTCTCTCCCATGGACTATGTGCTGCTTGCAGGCAGCTCTGTCTTCCTCACATCTGTATCCTCAGAGCTTGGCCAATACATGTTTACTGGATGAATTTCTTTTCCACTTTTCATTAACCAAAGATATATATAACCATTGAGAAAAAATGTTATAATAACAGATATAATTCAAACAATAACCTTTGCTATTCTATTTTTCTTATACTTCAAAGAAATCTGAAAATGGCGATTATTTAATCTTTTACATTCTGCTAAGAGGGTGGGATTGCTGCAGCTGAGACAATTCCCTCTCTAGGTGGTGAGGTTCACAAGAGCAGGCCCTTTTGCATCCTCTATGCCTGGCTGACACAGTGGCTTCCTAATGAATGTTCATTAAATGAATTACAAACTCAACTATAAAAATATGAATACCAAGTCTTTATCTAAAAAACTCATTTTTTCTTTTCTCTCAATCTATACTTTATATACCATTACTCACCTTGTTGATTATACTCCCAGCCAAATTTCCTCGAGTCACACAATGCCTGCCCCAAAAGGGCAGCCTGATGCATCAATTTCTTAGGAATACAACCTACATTTACACAAGTGCCACCAAGACCTGAGAAAGAAAATAAGTATTAATGCTTCTTTGTGTGTCTAGTTTCACACATCTGCAGTCATATTATATTAAAACATGTGGAAATGACAAGCTCAATGGTAGGGGGGATGATACCCTACCCCAAAATAAGACACAAGGGATTAACCCAAATTTTCCGACCACAGATCCACAGAAGAGACCCAAGGATGAGTAAAAAAGATGTGCACGTGAGAAGTTTTCTGGGCACAGAGTTCAAAACTTTCACTTCAGTCTGATCCACAGAGATCAGAATGATATAAGATTAATCAGATATGTACTACACCAGCCCTGTACTCTCCATAACTCTGACTCCTTGGAGTCACGTCTTCAACTGCAAGCTTCCTGGTCACATTTACTCTGAGTCCTTAACAACAAAAAATGGATTATGCAAAACGGAGTTCCCCTTTGCAGGGCAGGTCTCAGATTCTCTCTGACTACAGTGTCTTCTGGTATGCCAGGTAAGTAGGATTATTTCTGGACAAGAAAGGGAGAAAGGGAGGAGAAATAAAGGAAAGAGGCCAGGTTGAGGGACAAAAAACAAGTGTACACACACCACAAGAACATTATGAGAAAAATCAAGGTAGATTAGCTTTTGTATATAAAATTCTAGGCTATAACCTTCTGAGTAAGTTTGAATTTTAAAAATTGATTTTCACACTTTATGTGAAAAAATCTGCCAGAAAATTTTTTCTAGCAGAAAAGAGAAGACACACTCGAATTGGGTAACTGAAGGATTAACAGAGAAATTATCACAAAGGTGTAAGCAGGAAGAGCAAAAAGGGATAGAATAGTTCCCTAAACTAGTGACAGCAGGGTACCACTGGCAGCCCCATGTGAAGGGGCAAGGAGACTGACTGCCACCACCCAGAGGGAGTCGGCCATCCAATGGAGGGGGTGGCCTTCCACAGGAAGATGCAGGGACCCAGCAGGGAAGAAGCCAGGGGAGTAAAATCCCAACTCCACTCTCCCTCTGCCCTCTTTCCATTACTCCAAAGTGGCCAAGCTGCCTCAGAAGCCAGAGGGCAAGGCTGCCAACAGATCAGTCTTATGGGGTGTAGAGCAGGGCAGAGGCAGAGGGGGAATGCATTTAAAGAATAAATGGAAAACATCCAGCACAAAATCTATGTGCTCTTTTCACTGTGAAAAAACAACATGGAAAGGTGAGTGCTCTAGTCTACAGTAGACAGCAGTCATAGAGCTGGTCATTGGTCTCGTTAAGCTAAACTGTAATTATTATATACACTCACTCCATCAGCTATTGTGCAGCTAATATAGTCAATTATGAAATCGACACAGAAACAAAGAAAAATGTTTCTGGCAAACTTATGTGATCACGACACAGTATATACACTGTGACCTCAACTATGTGACATGCATGCAAAAAAATACTATGGCAGAAGTGCTGAAATACTGGGGTCACGGAATCTTTTTTTCTTTTTGTAAAATCTTCCTTACTAATGTTTATATTATCTTTCCAACATCACTGCTTGTGAACTATATCCTCACTAAGACTCAGTTTCTTTTTTTTAATTTTTTTTTTAAATTTTTTATTTTTTTGAATAGAGACAAGGTCTCACTATATTTCCAGGCTAGTCTGGAACTCCTGGGCCTCTCAAAGTGCTGGGATTACAGGCATGAGACTCTGGGCCAGGCCTAGACTTGCCTGTTTTCTTATCCAAGAAACAGGCGAGTTATACCTCTTGAGATTGTTGTGAGGATTAAATGAGATTACATAAAGCAAGCAACATATGTAAAGAGCAGAGAGGAACAACAGAGAAAAACAGCTTACCCCAGGATGTGCCCTGAGGTGACGGGACAACAAAGTCTAGCACCATAACTTTCTTTCCCAAAATGGCAGCTTCCTACAAACAAACAACAACAACAAAAATTACGTATAAAGATCTTGTCACTTTCCTGACACTCCCTCAATTTTTGTCTTCCCTAAAAAACTGTTTTTGTGTGACACACAATCTTTTATCTGAATTATACCAGCTATTACAACAAAAGCTTAAACTGTAACAGTAATTTTTTAAGTAGCAGAAAAAATGACTATGGCAATCATCAGGAAGATTGTCTACGAGTTTCATTTCTACGTTCATACCTTCGCACATGAAAGGCCGCCAGAACCACCACCAACAATGATGAGATCATAATCATATGCTGAATCTTCCTGAAGGAGCTTCTGTAACAAACCACTCTGATATGCCTATGGTTTAATTACAGGAGAAAGAGCACTGCAGAATTTAAAGTTTTACAGCTGTTTATGTATACCCTATGTTTAACTAGTATGGATTTCTTTTATAAAAATCTTAGGAACAATCTATAATTAATCTAAGTTAGAACTGTAAATTTATCTGGATGCTATTTAAAAATAGGGTCCAACTAGTTAAAACTTATACCAAAGTACGTATGTTTTTGTCCTTTCTGACACCTGACAGCTAGGCCTGTGTCAAATAACCTAGAAGGCTGTGGCTCTGTATCGATGTAAAATGAGGTCGTTTTCCTTGGTCTAATTATCAAAATGTTATAGTCAAATGCAGTGGAATAGCCAAGTATCATTTTTTAAGATCCTTGCTCACTTGTGCTAGTCTTCATTTTGAGAACAATTCTTATGCATTATCAGCAAATTTTGTCATAGCTTCTCATAAATTGATCTAACCTTCGTAGTTACACTGGTGAGCTTTCTATACAACACCAACATCTCGCATTTTCTTTCAGCAACAGTCATGAGGCTGGCCCTGGGCCGTATCCTCTTGCTCATTTGGCCCTCCTTGTGATCAGTAGCTTAGATGATGTTAGAGGTTCGATGTGTGATTAGCAACAGTTTTCTCTATGCCACGTCAGTTGCTCACTCCCATTACCTTGGCTTTAGACAAACACCATGATCAAACTAGCCGTTCCTAAACAGATGCTTCATAACTACGTGGATTCACCAGATGCCATGTGTTCCCATGAAGAATGGGTGCCCAAGAAGGTTTTGGGGACATTCTAAAAAGGGCCCCTCTGGCCTCCTTACTTTTAGGTACCCTTAGGGAAATCCACCTCCTCAGGATCTGCCATCCAAAAAATATCTTTCTGTCTTGAAATAATAGAATTGCTCTCTCTGCATCTATAGATTTATTCTTGGACATTATTTTCCAAATTAGGATTGGCAAGACAAGCACTTCAGAAGGCGTTTAGTGGCTATAATTACAGGACTTAACCACTATGTGCACTAGGTTATAAATTCTAGGACTAATAAAGCAGATTGTTACTGCATAAGGATGCTGATCATAGATTAACACACAACGTAGACAATTGTTTTTCTCCACAAAAATATAATTCTTAATTAAAGCCTCAAATACAACTATTTAATCAATCACTGATTACTCATATTGTATACACATATAAAGGATATGACAGAGTAGAATTTTAATAAAAGTGAATAATTATAAAATAAGGACCTTATTTAATAAACATCAATTTTTATCTATCCCTGCTTACCTAACAACTCCTATTCATTTGTAGCATTCTAGGAATCAAAATATCAAAAGCCATAGGCCTTTGGAAACCACCACGAAGTTGGCAGTCTTAACAGGAATTCTAATTGCCCTAGACAAGAATGTCAGTGTTGACCTCTTTTTACTGGACAAACAGTAATGCTATCTCTCCCCATCAGGAGGAAAAGACCTGGGATGTCTCCAGGGTGGTTTGTCCTGGTGCCCTCACACAAAAATCCTAGCTTCTGAAGTTCAGGCTGGTAGAAAAGCTAATTTCCCTTAAAGCAATCAATATTATCTGACTGATAATTATCCTATATGCTTCATTTCATAACTTCCAAAAGATGAGTGGACTCCTAAAAACCATTTCCTCCTCCTTTAAATACTTTTTAAAAATGTGAACAAACAGCATTGAAGAACATATAATACTATTATTACCTGGAAAGTTTGGTCACATCCACCTACATGCACTTTATTCACAAAAACATTGGGCACAGTTTTCTGATTAGTGATTTCTGACAGCACTTCTTGAACCTTGGCCCCATCATCTAAAGAAGAAAAAAGCTATACATAAAAACACTGAAAAGAGTTCCAAATCTTTGTGAGTTCAACTAAAGTGTTACAACACTCAAATGTTCACATGCACATACCCATAACGGGTCAGTGTGTTATATAACTTTATGAAATGATAACTCGAGGGGAAAACATCCATGCTTTTAAAGAAAATCTTAAAAAATAAAGATCTACTTATTCCTTTAAAGATAAGGAATAAAGACAAAGATAAACTCTTCAAAATTAGATTTTGATATATTATTCAGTGACTATGCCAAGACAAACAGACAAGAGGCCTCTTTAAAGAGCAAATATCAAGATAAAATCTGCTGTAACAATAACTCAGAAAATACTTCTTACAATTACATTTGAAAACTGTTTATGATCATAGTCCAATATTTATCTTCCATCCCTAAAAATAAAACTGGTCCATGACTACTTAAGACTACCTTATTGGTATGCCCTTTAGAAAAGTCTCCAAGATTCAAGAGCATTTCACTCAATAAGGCAACTTGGTTAAAATGAGTCAGTGAGGTTCTATGAAGGCAGAAATCAAACTTGTTCAGTTCATCACCATGCCCTCACCCCTGAAAAGCTCCTTATGTGTAAAATGCTCAACTAATATTAGATGTATGAATGCCAAGAATTCAAAAGTATAAAGCTAAAAACTTAATGCACTCTCCCTGGTGGATGACACAGCCAGGAAATGGGAGCTGATCCTTTTCGTTTGTTACAGCTTAATCTATTCTGCTAGAGAGCTGGCAGATACATCTGAAATGCCTCAAGTACTTCAAAGGGAGCAGCTTATATATCTTCCTCCCACTCCCTTCCCTCAAATATGGAAAATGTATAAATAAAAAACCTACACCAACTTATCTGCCACATAAGGGTTCATTTTCTGCATGGCTGAATGTAGACAAAAATGCCTCATTCAACCCGAAGACAAGAGTAATCTGAATCGAACAAAGTAAATGGAAAGCAGTCAATCTTGTTGGCATTTATTATAAACAACACCGTGTAGTAACTGGTCTACTTACCAACTTGATCAAGTTCCAAGACGTTACACTCGACTCCCAAAGAAGAAAAGAGTTCTTTCACCTGTAACAAAAATTTAGCTAAGTTTCACTCTCACAAAAGATTCAACAGCTGTGAAATATGAACACAGTAATGAGAGATGTCAAAAATAAATGTTCTGGAGGAATAGCAGTTCTAGCTGATGGGTGGTTTTTGTTTTTGTTTTGATTTTTTTTCCTTTCCTCTACACATTTTCCCAGAATAATCTTAGGCCATCCCTTGCCTTCTTTTTACCGTCTCTTATGACTTTCAAATCTACAACTTTTGCCCAAATCTCTTTTCTGAACTCAAGATAGGTAGTATCTATTTTCCACCTGCGTGTCCCACAGGCATTTCACAGGCAACATACCCACAATACTACTCCTTTCCTTCCACATACCTTTTCCTCTTCCCGTGTTTCCTTTCAACAGTCATTAAATCATTCAACAAATTTTTATACATCAAACACTTTGAATGGTTCATCCACATTTCTAAGTACTCAAAAGAAAACAAGGAATAAGATACAATCTCTACCCTTTAGTAGGGGAAACAGACAAGTGACAATTCAATTTATAGCACCGTCTCCAGTTGATTAAATAAGAGCAACTACAGCCTTGCTACTCATGCAAACAGAGGGCAGAGGAACAGAAGGACAGCATCACCCCAGGAGCTTACCAGACATGCAAAATCAGGACCTGTAGCAGGATCTGTACCTTAACGACTGCAGAGCTCTAACTGGGAATCATTTTTATGCCTCCCTCTCAGGGAACATCTTCCTATCCCACATGAACTCCTCAGCCATTCACTGTCATTACAAAGTTTTAGCAATTCTCTGTTGAACTGGTTCATCTTTCTAGTTCCCCATAGTTGCTATCTTAATCTGAGCCATCAACATTGACTACTGGAAATTCTCAGTAATATCCTACAAGTTATTTCTGCACCAGCTTTGTCCTCTCTACTTCTGAAAATTACATCCAAAGTGGTCATTTAAAACCACTTTTCACCACTTTACTTAAAAGCCTTCAGTGTCCTCAGCCCTCAAGGTAAGATCTAAAGGTTCCACTTTCAGAATGGAAGTGTGAACAGGGGAAAACTGGGGAAAATTATTTAAAACAACCACTAGAAACTATCTGGAAAGTTCCTATAGGCATTGAGCAAATGAATAAACACTTATTCAAGAAAATATACTAAATCTCAATTAAAACATGGAGAAGCTATGCCATTTGCACCCCAATCCACCCCTTCCCTCCCATGCCCTGGAGCAGCTGATGGGAGCTCCACTCCAAGTGAGTGTGGTCCAAAAAAACCAGGCTCCCTAGCCCTAACCAGGAAGAAGACAGTGATGCTTTCACCACTTCTTCTTTTTTTTTAACGTTTAAGTTCAGGGGTACATGTGTAGGTTTGTGATACAGGTAAACTCATGCCACAGGGGTTTGTTGTACAGATTATTTTGTCACCCAGGTGTTAAGCCTAGTACCTATTAGTTATTTTTCCTGATCCTCTCTTTCTTCCCACTCTGCACCCTCAGGTAGGCTCCAGTGTCTGCTGTTCCTATCTATGCATCCATGTGTTCTCATCATTTAGCACCCATTTATAAATGAGAACATGCAGTGTTTGGTTTTTTGTTCCAGAATTAGTCTGTTTAGGATAGTGGCCTCCAGCCCCATCTATGTTCCTGCAAAGGACATGATCTCATTCTTTTCTATGGTTGCATAGTATTCCATGGTATATATGTATAACGTTTTCTTTATCCAGTCTATCATTGATGGGGGTTGGGTTGATTCCATCTCTTTGATATTATGAAGAATGCTGCAATGAACATGCACATGCATATGTCTTTATGATAGAATGATTTATATTCCTTTGGGGATATACCCAGTAATGAGATTGTGGGGTTTACCCTTCTATTCAAAATAGTAGTACTGCAGCTGAGAACAGTGGCTCACACCTATAATCCCAGCACTTTGGGAGGCCAAGGCAGGAGGACCGCTTGAGCCCAGGAGTGTGAGACCAGCATTAGCAACTGAGTAAGACCCCATCTCTACAAAAAATAAAAAAATAAAAAATTAGCCAGGCATGATGGCACATGCCTGTAGTCCCACGTACTCTGGAGGCTAAGGTGGGAGGATTGCTGAAGCCAAGGAGTTTGAAGCTGCAGTGAGCCATGATCACATCACTTCAAGATCACTTCAAAGATACAAGATTACTGTATCTTTATAGTAAGGTTTGAAGAACTCAGGAAGCATGAGTTCTTCCACTTTGTTCTTCTTTACAAGACTGTTCTGGTTATTCAGGGTCTTTTGAAATTCCATATGAATTTTAGGATGGATTTTTCTATTTCTGCAAAAAAGATCATTGGGATTTTGATAAGGATTGCATTAAATCTGTAGATTGCTTTGAGTACTACTGACATCTTTGCAGTATAAAATCTTCCAATCCATGAACATGGGATGTTATTTGTTGCTATCTTATTTAATTCCTTTCAGCAACATTTGTGGTTTTCAACATCCAAGTCTTTTGCTTTCTCGGTTAAGTTTCTTCCTAAGTATTTAGTTCTTCTTTTTGCTATTATAAATGAAAATTTTTTCTCAATTTCCATTTTGGATTGTTCGTTATTGGTATACAGAAAATCAACTGATTTTTGTGTGTTGATTTTGTACAATGCAACTTTGCTGAATTTCTTTATTTTAACGGTTTTGGTGTGTGTGCATCTGTGAAATCTTTAGGTTTTCTACACATCAGATCATGTTGTCTGTGAACAGAGATAATTTAACTTATTTTCCAGTTTCGATGCCTTTTATTTCCTTTTCTCGTGGTATTGCTCTGGCTAGGACTAATAGTACTTTATTGGAGGGGGACAGGGTCTTGCTGTGTCACCCAGGCTGTTGTGAAGTGATGTGGATCATGGCTCACTGCAGCTTCAAACTCCTTGGCTTCAGCAATCCTCCCACCTTAGCCTCCAGAGTACGTGGGACTACAGGCATGTGCCATCATGCCTGGCTAATTTTTTATTTTTTTATTTTTTGTAGAGATGGGGTCTTACTCAGTTGCTAATGCTGGTCTCACACTCCTGGGCTCAAGCGGTCCTCCTGCCTTGGCCTCCCAAAGTGCTGGGATTATAGGTGTGAGCCACTGTTCTCAGCTGCAGTACTACTATTTTGAATAGAAGGGTAAACCCCACAATCTCATTACTGGGTATATCCCCAAAGGAATATAAATCATTCTATCATAAAGACATATGCATGTGCAAGTTCATTGCAGCATTCTTCATAATATCAAAGAGATGGAATCAACCCAACCCCCATCAATGATAAGAAAACGTTATACATATATACCATGGAATACTATGCAACCATAGAAAAGAATGAGATCATGTCCTTTGCAGGAACATAGATGGGGCTGGAGGCCATTATCCTAAACAGACTAATTCTGGAACAAAAAACCAAACACTGCATGTTCTCATTTATAAATGGGTGCTAAATGATGAGAACACATGGATGCATAGATAGGAACAGCAGACACTGGGGCCTACCTGAGGGTGCAGAGTGGGAGGAAAGAGAGGATCAGGAAAAATAACTAATAGGTACTAGGCTTAACACCTGGGTGACAAAATAATCTGTACAACAGATACAGTAAGTTCTTCAAACCTTACTACAAAGATACAGTAATCAAAACGGTGCCGTACTGGCATAAAGACAGGCTTACAGACCAAGGAAGAGACCAGGGAGCACAGAAATAAAGCCTCACATATACAGGGAAATGATTTTTAACAAGGGTGCCAAGAACATTCAATGGGGAAAGCATCATTTGTCTTTTCAACAAATGATGCTGAGAAAACTGGCTGTCCACTAACAAAAGAATGAAACTGGACCCTTACCTAACACCGTGTACAGAAATTAACTCAAAATGGATCAAAGACCCAAAAGTCAGAGCTAAAACTATAAAACTCTTAGAATAAAACATAAGGCAAAAGTGTCATGACACTGGCTTTGGCAATGATTTTATGGATATGATCTCAAAGGCACAAGCAACAAAAGAAACAACAGACAAATAGCACCTCACAAAAATTTGAAATTCTTGGTCATCAAAGGACAGTATCTACTCAGGAGGCTGAGGTAGGAGGATCATTGAGTCCAGGAGTTCGGGGCTGTAGTGCATTTTGATCACACCTGTGAATAGCCATGGCACTCCAGCCTGGGCAACATAGCAAGATGCCATCTCTTAAAAAGAAAAGAGGACATTATCAACTGAGTAAAGAGGTGACCCAAGGAACTGAATAGGATATTTGCAAATCACATACATGATAAGGGATTAATATCTAGATTATATAGAGTACTCCTAAAACTCAAGAGCAAAAAGTTAAAACCCCAACTTAAAAATGGGCAAAGCAGTTGAATAGATATTTCTTCAAATAAAAGATACAAATGGCCAATAAGCACATGAAAAGTTGTTCATCATCACTAATCTTTAGTGAAACGTGAATCAAAACCACAATGAGATAACACTTCACATGCATTAGGACAAGTATTATTTTTAAAAACACAGAAAATAACAAATGTTGGTGAGGATGCAGAGAAACTGGGAACCTTGTGCACTTTGGTGGGAATGTAAAATAGTGTTGCCACTATGGAAAACAGAATGACAGTTTCTCTAAAAATTACAAATAGAAATAGCATATAATCAAGCAATTCCATTTCCAGGTATGTATCAAAAGGAATTGAAAGCAGAGACCGAAATAAATATTTGTACACCCGTGTTCATAGAAACAATATTCATAATAGCCAAAAGGTGGAAGCAATTGCAAGTGACCATTGACAGATAAATGGATAAACAAAATGTGTTATATACATACAGTGGAATATGATTCAGTCTTTTAAAAAAAAGGAAATTCTGACACATGCTACAACATGGTTGAATGTTCAGGACACTACTCTAAGTGAAATAAACCAGACACAAAAAAACAAATACTGTATGACTCAACTCATATGAGGTACCTAGAGCAGTCATATTCATAGAGACAGAAAGTAGGATGGTGGTTGTCAGGGGCTGGGAGAAGGAGGAAAAGAGAGTAAGTGTTTAATGGGTATAGAATTTCAGTTTGGGAAGATGAAAAAGTTCTGTGGATGGATGCTGCGATGGTTGCACAACAACGTGCATGTACTTAGTGCCACTGAACGCTACACTAAAAAATAGTTAAAATGGTAAGTTTTATGTTATGTGTATTTTATCACAATATTTTTTAAAAAGCGAACCAGTGGTAATATAAATTTGCAATTCACAAATGTATTGAATTCATACAGGACTGGGGAAACATGGCTTAAAATTAATGTGAGGAAAGTACTTCTAAAAGTCAGGACATTTTATTCACTGTTCAGTTTGCATTATTATCTTACATCTGTCCTTTAACATTGACTTTCCAACTAGTCTAGCTGCCTCTATACTGAGTCTAGTTTTATATGATGGCTAGATTTCAAATCACAGGTCAAATGCTGCTCACAAGTGTGAGATGACTTTTCTTTGCCATATCATTAAGTTCACACTTATTAGCAAGCATTTTAAGACCTCCTTGGCCAGGCATGATGGCTCACGCCTGTAATCCCAGCTCTTTGGGAGGCCAGGCAGGTGCATCACTTGAGTGCAGGTGCTCAAGACCAGCCTGGGCAACACGGTGAAACACTGTCTCTACAAAAAATATAAAAATTACCCAGGTGTGGTGGCATGCGCCTGCAGTCCCACCTATTTGGAAGGCTTACGTGGGAGGATCACTTGAGACTGGGAGGCAGAAGTTGCAGTGAGTCAAAATCAAGCCACTGCACTCCAGCCTGGGCAACAGAGCAAGACCCCATCTCAAAAAAACAAAGACCTCCCTAAATCACCTTTGAAACTAAATTTCCAGCCATTTTCCAATGAATCTTCCTGATTCCCTTGCATATACATTGTGCTCAGCCATACTATTTTCCTTTTATCATTATCTATCTTTGCTGATACCAGTTTCTTAACTAGATGCTCTTTCTTACCTACAGACTAACTTATCCCTCAAGCACCGACTTACGTGGCATTTTCTTAGACCGTTCTGATCCTCCACAGAAGCCACTGTTTTATCTCTTATTCCCACAGCTCTCGTTTTTCTTACGCATTTCTTTCTACACATGCAAGCGGGTTGATTACAGCTCAATTAGACTATGAGTTTACGGGAGGCAAGACCAAGGTTTATTCATTTCTGTGTCTCTGCAACACTAAGTACCCAATGACGCTTACTGAATGCCATTAGCAGCCCAATCAAGAAACAATCTCTCTCCTTGACTCTGCAAGGATAAGGACACATGTGGAATATGGTGTCTAATTTTGGGAGATACATTTAAGAGGTTCACGGGCAAAAAAAAAAAACAAAAAAAAAAAAAAAAAAAAAAACCTGTACAATCAAGTTAGTGAGTGGCCACATGTAAAGACAGACATGTAAGAAAGCAGGCTACTCAGTCAAGCAAGAAAAACACTTGGCAAAAGTACTGGAAGATCTGCCCTCCAAGCAGAAACAAAGTTCTTAATTCTGCCCACTGGAGCAATGCTCACCTCCAAGAATGAAAAAACATTTCAGAGAGGCAGACTTCGCTTCACTTAAAAAAATTCCAATAATCAGAGCTGTCCAAATATGTAATGGGACTCAAAATCATGGCCACATTACTGAAAATGTTAACACATACAGAATAGAGGATCATTTGTCCTAAGATTTTCTGTATCAGCAAAGGTTTGACTAAAATTATTTAAGATAATTCACCCTATATTATGTGCCTGACACTATTGTCTAGGCCCCAGTAATACAGCAGTAGACAGACACAGTTCTGATCTCTTGGTATTTATGCAAACTACAAAGGACAACTCTTAAGAAATATAGATAGAAACAGACCCCAGAAACAGTCCAACACATACATGAGAACCTGATCAATGATGAGTGAGTATACAAACTAGTGTGGAAAGGATAGGGTCTCCAAAAAAAGGAAACAGGAACACCTGGTAAGTCACAAAGAAGAAAACAAATTGGATCCCCACTCGTATTACCAATATCAATCCCAGGTAGATGTCAAGAAGGTGGGTATGAAAAGCACACTACTCACTACTCAATTTTCAGGAGCTAAAACAGAATATCTTTATGATCTCTGAATAGAAACAGATTTCCTAAATAAGACACCAAAAGCAAGCCATAAAAGGAAAAGAATGATAGAAGCAAATACATTAAACTTACAAACTTCAGTTAATGAAAAGATCCTTATATTAGTCTGTTCTCCCATTGCTATAAAGAAATATGAGACTGGGTTATATATAAAGAAAAGAGGTTTAATTGGCTCATGCTTCTGTAGACTCTACAGGAAGCATGATGCTGGCATCTCCTTGGCTTCTGGGAAGCCTCAGGAAACTTACAATGATGGCAAAAGGCAAAGGCAAAGCCAGCACTTCACATGGCCAGAGCAGGAGCAAGAGAGTTGGGTGGGGAGATGCTACAATTTTAAATGACTAGATCTCATGAGAACTCACTATCATGAGGACAGTACCAATGGGATGATACTAAACCATTCATGAGAAATTCACCCCCATGATCCATTCATCTCCCACCAGGCCTTACCTCCAGCATTGGGAATTACATTTTAATATTTGGTTGGGGACACAGATCCAAACCATATCAATCCCATAAAAAGAGTGAAAAAGGAAGCTAAATCTGACAGATTTTCTAAAGCAGCAGGTCCTCAAATAACATTATTTCATTACAACAGTGATTAAAAAAACTATTCCTAGCCAGAGCCACTGTCAAGTGGAGTTTGCACCTTCTCTTCATGTTTCCTCCAGGTACTCCAGTTTCCTCCCATATCCCAAAGATGTGCATGTTAGGCTAATTAGTGTATCTACATTTTCCCAGTCACAGAAAGTGTGGGTGTGTGTGCAAGTGCACCTGCAATGGGATGGTGTCCCAGCCAGGTTTGGATCCCGCCTAGCACTTGCAATCCTGAAATGGAGTAAATGGGTTGGAAAAGGAATGAATAAGCAAATATAAATTATTGCCAAATAAAGCTTCATAAAGTAGACAATAATCATACAGACGCAAACAATAACGAATGCAGTAGGAGAGCACTCAACAGTGTACCCTCCATATTTCTGATTTTGTTTTTGAACTGCCCAGTGGCACAAGGTGCTCCTTAAAATCCTGCTTTGCAAACATTTTTTGATTTCACCCACTACCATTAGAACCCAACCTCTCCTGATTCACCAGAAATTGGGTAAATACTTTTCTTCCTTGTTCTCATTAATCTCTCTTAAATGTATGTATAGTTCACATTTATTTCAATGTTTAATACTAGACATGTTTTGGGTCTTTATTTAAAAGTTTGGTGATTTTTTATTTTTGTGGTCAGAAATATGCCATAGGAACTTAACTCTTACTTCTAGCCTACAATAAAACTGGTTTTGTTACATGTCATTTCGCTTAAGGTTGGTTTCCAAGAACCTATCACCAATGTTGAGTGAGCACTTACTGTATACATAACCTAAGGATAAGCATCCTAAATATATAAAGAACACCTACAAGTCTAGTACAAACAACTAAAATCCGCTGCATAGGAAAATAGGCAAAAGGCCTGAAAAAAATGAAAAGCACACTATAGAATTTCATAGAAGAGGAAGCTCAAGTGACCCATGAATACACTGGACTTCATTTGGGAAATACAAAATTAAACCATAATGGAATGCCATTTCAAAATTGCCAGAATGGCAAAAATTAAAAATATCAGCTGTTAGCAAGGATGTAGAGCAAGATGAATTGTTATAAACTAGGAGGAGAGTAAATTGGTATAACTACTTGGAAACTCAGTTGGGCATTACCTTGCTAAGGTAGAAATCATGCATCCTTTATGACCCAGCAACTCAGCTTCATGATATCTATCCTAGAGTAGTCTCTTGTAAGTGCGCTGGGAGTTACGTGCAAGAATAAGCATACAGCTGTACTGCTTTTTAAGACCAAAATACTAGAAACAGCAAAATGATAAACTCCGGTATGATTCATCCTAGGGAGTAGTCAGCAATGAAAATTAATGAACCCCAGCTACAGATACTAATATGCATGAATCTCTGAAACATAACTGTTGAGGAAGAAAACTGCAGATGTATATATGGTTCGATTTATATCAAGTCCCAAAACAGGCCAAAAGGAACCAAATATTGATTAATAATGTATATATTTGGTAAAAATGTAAAAAAAAAAAAAAGAAATTTTGCATAGTGGTTAATCCTGAGGGAGGGAGAAGACAGCCAAGGAAGCTTCTACAGTACTAGTGTCACTTTATTATTCTTAAAAATGTATATGCATAATATATGTTTTAAGAAACTATACACATCAATGTAAACTTCAAATATATTTGAAAAACAGCCTATAATTTCATGAACTCAACCTAATAGTTTATGCTTTTGCATACTGTCTTCCACGTATCATTTTTCAACTTTCTGTAAAATGAAGTAAATTCCTAAACGTTGAAAGTCTCTGCCTTACACGTAGGTTATCACCCAAAGGCTCGTTTTTAAGTGAAGTATTCTTAAACTCAGAATACATTTGTCCTTAGAAATAATGCCGGATTCCTAGCCTGCGCTGAAAAGTTAAGGCAGTGTGCGTGAAGCTGAAATTACCTCACAACCTTCCCGTACCTTCGTTTCCCAAGACCGGGAACTGAGGTTCGGCGCAGGGTCCTAACCCAGGTCGAGGTCACGAAATTAGGAGTGTTTCTGTTTTGATAAACCATCACAAGCCCACCTCAGGGGAAGGCCGGGGAGAGGAGAGGACGGGCGGCTGACCTCACTGCCGCAGCCCGGGAGTGAGGCGGGCGCCCCAGCCCGGACCCGCCCTGCCGGGGGTGGCGTCCGCGTGGCGGCCTGGTAGCGCGCGGTGGAACCGGCGAGGGCCGCGCCTACCCGAGTACTGTGGGGACAGTAGCTCTTGCTGAAGATCATCACCCGGCTGCGCTCAATGAGGCCCCGGAGGCGGCGGCGCAGCTCCTCGCGGGCCTCGGACGAGCTGCTGGGCCCGGGGGACGACAGGCGGGCGCGGCGCCCCGGCGGCGACAACACGCGCGCCCCTCGGACATGGCCCGAGCGGCGGTTGGGGGCATCCCCCGCCTTCCCCGGCCCTGGCGACTGTGGCGGCGACTGCTCCACGGTCTCGCTTTCGCTCCCGGCCGGGCCGGGTCTGCTCACAAACCGAAACGCAGGCGGCGGCGGCGGCGCAGGGACCTGGGCTGAGGGGCGGCGAACGCTGCCTTCGCTGGCCACTCTCAGCACCCGCGCGAATCCGCCAGGCAGCCGCTCGCCCCACCCCCAGCACCGCCCCGCGCATGCGAACTGGGCCCCCCGCCCGCCCGCGGCGTACACCTGCCCTTCTCAAAGAGGCGGGTACCAAGCGCGAGCCTCTATCTCCAGGCTGTGCGCGCGTCCCGAGACCAACCAATCTTGGCGATGCCGCTTGGAGATGGCCTCTGTGCAATGCCTTTTACTCCTAATAATCCCCAACAGCCCGTTTAAACCACCTTAAAATATACATTCTTCAATTTTTATGAGAAGTGTGAATTGGAAAGATTGATATTTTTAAAAGTTTAGATCACACAAGCTAAATAAATACATTGCGTTTGCTATTGCAATGCAACTTTAAGATGAGTTTCGTAGGTTGCTACCCGTCAGTTCCCTTCTACATAGAATTCCAGAGCCGCCCCTAACAAAGGAACTCTGAAACTGCGAGAACAGGAATCCTCTGTCCATTTCAGGGGGTGGATGGAAGACCTTTGAGCTGAACTAGCCTGCAATGACTTACAGCCCCCTCCACCACAATGGGTGAATAAAACCCCAATAAAGAGAACAATCAACCGCAGGACCAGCAGGTGTGAACCGGTTCCTGCCTACCTCTAGGCTGTCATCCCCTGACAGTGTCCCTCCGGTTCATTCTGCTTCAGCTACACGGGCTTTCTCCCTGTGTCTCAGATGCGTCAAAACCATTCTCGCCTTTGGGTCTTTGCACCTTTAGCTTTATCAGTCTAGGATGTTGTCTCCTGCAGTGGACTGAATGTATCACCCAGATTTCATATGTTGAAACTCTCATCCTAATGTAACAATATTTGAAAGTTAAGACCTTTGGGAGGTAATTAGGTCATGAGGGTGGAATCTTTGAGAGTGGGATTAGTACCAGTAGTTAGTATCACTAAGAAGAGGCCAGAGAGCTAGCTCACTCTCCACCATTTGAGAACACGGTGAGACCTTACAACTGGAATGGGCAAGTCGGCCCTCATCAGAAGCAACTGTACTGACACCTTCATCTCAGACTTCCAGGCTCCAGAACTGTAAGAAATAAAATTCTGTTGTTCATAAGATGCCCCGTCTATGGTGCTTTGTTCTAACAGCTCCAACAGACTAATACCTGCTCCAGCAAGTCTGGCTCCTCATTGCCAATTAAGTCTTGGCTTAAATGTTACCTCCTTAGATAACCTTTTGCTGTGTACCCAAAATGAAGTAGCTGCTAATTTCCATCATTTCACACATGTTCCAGTCCCTTCATGACACATTTATTATTATTTTCAACGACCTCCTATAATTTCTGGTTTCCTTGCTTGTTGTCTGCCCTAGCCCTGTCTCCATGACCTCGACTGGAATGCGAGTTCTGTGAGAAAAGGGCCTTATCACTTTGGCCCACAACTCTAGCCCCAGAGTTTATCACAGTGCCTAGCTCATAGTAGGCACGGAATACAGTTTTACTGAAGGAATGAATTAGTGATTCATACATGTCACATCTTACCAGAACATATATTACCATATTTTGCTTCTCCTCTTGTCCTCACATGACAGGCTGGGATCTCAAATTCCTCTTCTTCCTACTCTGTTCATCCAGGGAGCCACAAGTCTGGGAGGTGGAGTACAGACCGTGATGTTCAGGGACTGCCTCATGCCACTCCTGTTGCCCTGTGCCCACATGGCTTATTTCATGCCTTGACTCCACAAGCACTTCCTGAACACCTCGGTCTGTGCTAAGTGTTAGGGAATAAGCACGTGGAAGATAGCACCTGTCTTCAGGAGATCAGAGCTCTTCTAGGAGAGATGTCAAAAATAAGAAATGCAAATGAGGAAGTAGTTCTAAAGAGAAGAATAATACCTGAGCTGGATGTGATGAAGTGAAGAATCATTGGCCCAGACAATAAGCACTGGAAGAGGGTATCAGAGGGAGGCAGCCGAGCTGAACCACAGAAGCAGGGGAAGGCTGGTGTATTGGGGGAAAATGCTGAAAGATCCAAAAATGAGCAGAGGTGAGGGAGAAATGAATGCCATTGAAGTGAGCAGGGGCCAGATGGCTGCGATCTAGTTGACACTGTTTAGAAGATCTCTAGGAAGGAAAAGGAACATGAGACAATGACTTCAGGCAGCAAGAAGATGACTTTCCTATTAGCCCGAGCAAAAATCAGAGTTTGGAAGAACTGAAGAAGAAAGGAAACAGAACAAGAGAGAGGTCCCCTTTATCTTTTTATTTTTATTTATATTTTTAAAGAGACAGTCTTCTATTGGGACTCTGGACATCTAGACATCAGTGCAGGGGCTTTCTGAGACCAGCCTCCCTGGCAGGCTTAGATGTGATCTAGCCTGAGTCAGGAGGGGAACACACGTGGGGCTGGATGTTCTTTCAGATCCCTGGCAGAGATCAAAGACAGAGTGGTCAGCTTGACCTAGCTTCTGCAAGCGCTGGCTCTGATGTGGGAGAGGGAGGCAGTCCCCAGAGCAGGAATGCCTTCCCTGGGGCTCCTATCCTTGCAGGGGAGAAGCTGGCCATTGTCCCTTAAGAGCTTCCTTCACTGCAGCCCGAGGGGGGCGACTGGCAGATTCCTCAGGGGGGCAAACGGAACGGATTCCCCAGGGGAGGAAACCTCTGGGCTCTGGCTTCAACCCCCTCCCGGGGAAACATTCACAGCCCCTCCGGAGGAGAGCCCTGCTGCAGGAAAACTCTAGGGCAGGGCCCAGCTGCGAGGGGCCTGGGCTGTTGGTGATAGTACCCCAGGCTCCAAACTCTCTGGGCCTGGGGGCAGTTCCCTTCCTTGGTTACAACAGATTCTTACCCCGCCGTGCCCTACAGCCCGCCCCGCGAGGAACGGGCCCAGGAGTGGACGGGTGGATAGGCATTCCGGTGTCTCGAGTCGGGGCCAGCCTGAGCAGCACCACCCGCGTGAGGCACACGGGGCATACAAGGCAGGCACCAGGCTCCAAACAGCAGCTGACAAGTCTTCCGGCGGCGTCGGGTCTCCATGGGGACGGGGGCGGGGCCAGGCGGCCGTGATGGGGTTGGGGCGGGGCTTTTCAACTGTCAACGGCCCCGCCCAGCCTGGGCAAAGAGACATAGCCTGGCCTGGAAGACCGAGTCAGGGACCCCCAGGCAGAGGCTGACCCCTGCCGGCGGCCGGGGCCTCCTACCTCCAGGTGCTGCTGCCCCTACACGGACGGGCGCCCTCTGCGGGTCCCGCGACTCCCCGCTCAGCGCCTCCAGATGCCTCACCCGGGCCCACTCCGCTGGGTCCCCAGGGACCTTAAAGCGCTGGCCCAGCAGCGGGGTCACTCCCATAAGCCTCCCGACCCTCCCATGGGTCCTTTGGAGCCCTGGATTGTGAAGCTGATACTTCCTCAGGGCCGCGCGCCCGAACGCGGCTGCTCCAGGACCACAGCTGACTGAGTGCGGCCGCGTCCCCTGCAGGCCACCCGTCAAGGGCACAGGCCACAGGAGCCCCAAGGCGCAGTGGCTCACCCTGCCCGGAGCTGACCCTTGAGGTGGGGAGAGGGCACTAACTCGGGTCCTCTCCCCTTCCTCAAGGCTCCTTCCTCCCCTGGGGTGAAGGGCTCCCAATCCCAGCACTTTGGGGCCGTCCTGTTTAATTCATGCCCACAAATGATCATGCAGTGTGCTGGGACAGAGAAGACAGGCACGCTGGCCTCCGAGGGGTGAGACAGACTAGTCTATCAATGCAGAAAATTCCCAATAGGGACAAGGGCCAGGAAGGAAACACCAGGAAAAGTGAGGGTGGAAGATGGGGGTGACCCTACTGCAGGTGGGTGCTCAGGGAGGGCTTCTCTGAGGAGGTGACATTCACTTGATTGGCAAAACAGATGGGCAGGGCCTGTGTAAGTCTTCTAAGAGAGGGAACGGCAGTGCCCAGCGGGCTGTCCTGGGGATGGAAATAGGGCAGCGGGTGGGGATGGAAATAGGGCAGCGGGTGGGGGTTGGGGTGTGAGTCAGGCAGGCAGGACCCAGACACCGTGTGATGGGTGCAGTTGTGGGACCCATGGAGGCTCTGAGGAAGCCCTGGGCCTCAGAAGATGGGGAAACAGGAGGACCCACTTAGAGGCCTTCACAACCTTCTAGGGCACAGACAGTGCAAAACAGCTCAGGCTAGAATGCAGTTTAGGTTTCAGAAGGGTGCTGGGTCCCCTACTCTCTTCTTGAGGCTAAAGGGCTCCGGCTCCTTGGGACCTTTCCATGGGGATATGGCTCTGGGGCCCCAGCTACATGGACAGCCTTCCGATGGTTGTCTACAGCCAGGAAGGGGGCATGGGCCGACCCACCCCTTCCTTGGCCAAGTGGACAGATGAAGGGAGCCTCTGGGAGCAGGATTGCTGGACTGAGAATTAGATTTGGAATGTAATCCAAACCCCCCAAAAGCCACCTCTTCTCTGGAGCTTGGCTTCTTCAGGAAAACTGGGCACAAAGGACAGCAAGAGAATCTCTCAGGACCCTTGCCTCTCCACCTTGTGATGCTTTTAGATGGTTCTCAGGGGCCACCCTTTTCAGAAAGAATTCTTGGGCTATAGGAAAGTAAAGGGAGGAAATGTGTTTTGAGTGGCAATTAGCCCAAGCTCCAGACTAGGTGTTGGTTTGGTGGGGGTTGCTTTTCCCCTTGCACCAGCCCCCTTCACAAAAACCTGAGTCCTGGCTAGGGCCGGGAGTGAGATTCCTGTTCTAGATTTTCATCATTCCGTGTTGCCCAGGAGGAGGTCTGTGGGGAAAGGAGACAGATATTAGCAAGTATATAAAAGACAATTTAGCCAGAGAAAACCTAAAAGAGGAATCAGGATGAGGGGATTAGGAATGGCAAAGGAGGAGCTGGGGGAGAGGGAGTTGGGGGTGGGGCTGGGACAAACACAAAGGAGGTGGGTGTGGGGGCCAGGGAAGTAAAGTCCAAGAGGTCAGCGGGACCAGAAGCCACAGCCTTAGTGGGGCCTCAGGAGAGCAGCAAGCTGCGTCTACCTTGGAAAAGTGGAGAAAGGACTGCAGTGAGCTGGGCAGGGAGTAGTGGGGAGGTGACAGGGCAGAGGAAGCAGGGAACAGACAGGAAAAAAAGATGATGCCCTGGGCCAGGTGGCCGCCACTGCTACCATCACTGTAAGTGGAAAACTCTTTGCCTTCTCCTTACCCCTGTGGCTGATGCCCCCATTCTTCACCCCGCTTCTTTAGTAATAGGTGCTGGCAACTAAGGAGCAGAGTCTGATTTGAGGTTGCCTAGGAAACACTTGGGGGCAGCTGTGAACCCACGAGTCTTGCCCAGTAGGGAGCTCAGGATCCCCAAATTGGACGAGCAAATAAGCTTAGTGAGTGACAGTTCCACCAACGTTCCCCAAAGTCACAGTAGGCATCCACTGCCCCTGTGTGTCCCCAGGCCTGCTTTGCCAGGTGGCTTCGGGGACGCAGGGCTATACTTCCAGTGCTCTGCAGACACACCTCGGGCTTGAATCCCATCTCACTGATTCCACAAATATTGATTGAGGGCGTACTGGGTGCGAGGCCTGTGCGGCTGTGAGGGAGTCAAGGTCCCTGCTCCAGTGCAGGTGATGGGCATAAAACAGGACAACTTCAGAACCTGAGAAGGGGGACAAAGCAGAGTACTGGGAAGTGGCTGGGTGGGCACGGGGCAGCCTGGGATGGGGTAAACAGCCAATGCTTTGCCATCCATTCTTGGCCAGATATTATTGGGGATCCTACCTGCTCTCTCTACAGCCTTGGTTTCCTCACCTGGATGGTGGAGCTGGAGCTCCCCTCCCCCCGCACTGCCTGACCCTGCTCTCTGGGTTGCCTCTAGGGAGCCAGCCCTGCTCAGGCCTGTTCCCCTGCTCCATGGCTGTTAGCTCCTCCCGAGAATGTTCCCCCAAATGGAGGCCACTGGCAGCAAAGAAATGATCAAGACAAGGTAGCCCGGCCCGCACCGAGGGCTGCATGGATCCCGAGGTGCAGCTTGGGTGGACACTAGGGGTGCTTTCCGTCTGTGGATTTTGCCCAGGTTCCTGGAGCCCCTTCCCTATGGTCCCTTGACCAAGCCCAGCTCACTGAGCCTGGAGCCCTGGCTTCTGGAGAAGAGATGTCAAACTCTACCACAGGTCACAGGTCACAGGTCAGAAATAACTCTGGCCTTATCCGATGCAAGTGGGGGCCAGATCTGGGGAAGGCGCCTCTTCTCACGGGGCTGGCACTTCCAGAGGATGGATGGCAGCAAGGTAGGGAAGACTCTGAGGAACCCTTGGGGAGCTCAAGTGGGACCCAAAGGGGCCTTCTGTCTGGGGTGGCAAAATGGCATTGGGTGGAGGGAGATTCAGTATTGACACCTGGGGGATCCTTGCCCCCAAAGTGGATTTTAAGGACAGCAGCACACTGGGAAGACAAGGGGCCCCACAGCACTCCCACCCTCTCCCCAGCCAAGAGAGCACATGGGGGCTGAAGTCCAGCCCACCCCAGGCCCAGCTCCCTGATCCAGGCTACATCCATCTGGAGGGTGGATTTTCAGAAAGGCATTATACAGGCTAGGAGTGCCCTTCAGGCGGCCGGCTCTCTCATCTGTAAAATGGGCATCAGTGTCTGATGGTGGGCCCTGAGAGATCCCTGTGGCAGTTTGGACACTTCTGTCCTCTGCTGGATGAGGCCTCTGGGCCAGGCATGCTGGGCAGATGGCAGCCTGGGCGTCTTGCCTGGCTCCTATTTGCAGCTGTTCACACATTGTCGAGGTTTCAATGTCAGGTTTTAATGTTCTTGGACCTAAGAATCTTCATTGTCTCCATTCTAAATGCAGGGAGACCTTTGATGTGGACTCTCTCAGGTGTTTTTGCAGTATGCAATGTGTTCTCATTGGTCACCCTGCTGTGTACTAGATGTCAAAACTTCTTCCTCCTGTCCATCTGAGACTTTGGTCCTTTGACCAACAACTCTCCATTCCCTAACTCTGCTGCCTCCCAGCTTCTGATCACCATCAACCTACTCTCTACTTCTATGAGATCAACATTTTTACACCAACACTTCAATGACATCATGAGAAATTTGTCTTTCTGAGGTTATGAATATGCTAAGTAGGTTGATTTCATCATTCCAGTGCACACATCTATCTAATCATTACACTGTACCCCATGAATGAATATAAACATGATTTGCCAATTGAAATAGTATTTATAAACATAATAAATATAATCAAATGCAGGCAGTGCTGCTTGACTGCCCAAACTACTTGGTTTTGTCTTGGTCATAGCTATCCACCTGGTTTGTCAGTGCTATCTTATTAAGATGAGGTTTTGGGGCTCGGCAGAAACAAAGCAATTTCAGCATGAAATTGAGACATCTTCTAGCAGCCCTGTGGAAGCCCTGGCTCATTTTATTCAGAGAGGCTGAAGTTATACCATCTGGCTGCCCAGCATGGAGGGAGCTAGCTTCCTGGGATGTTCCCTGGGACAAGGATTCTTCTGGGTCTCCCCCACTGCTGCTGGTGCTCTGGGAGAAGAGGAAGGCCACAGGGCCATGCTGGGGTGCTTTGCGTGAAATGGTTCATTTCATCTGCAGAACTGGTAGGGGACTGGCAGGAACAGTGGCCTTTTGCCCTGACTCCTGGTCCTCCTCAGGCATCTGAAAATGGGAAAGGCCAGCTGGCTTTGATTCCTCTTTGGCTCCACAGGGAAGGTGGAAACCTTCGCAGATGGGGAAGTTCAGGTGGGGCCTACAGGAGGAAGGGACTGTGCTCTGATGTTTTTCCACTAGATGCTCTGATGCTTTCCATTAGAAATAAAAAAAAGTTGGTGAGTGGCACTTTCTTTGAGTAATTTTTTTCTGTAGGTCCTTAGAGTTCTCCAAGTAAAATGGCAGGGCCCTGGCCAACATAGTGTACAGGATGATGCCAAGGCTCCAGATACTGGTGGTAGGGCATTGGTACCCATGGCCCAGGAAGAGTTCTGGGGCTACATAAGAGTAAGTCATATGAAAGGTTCTCAGCCTCTCCCCCTCCCTATGTGTCATGCTGAAGCCAAAGTCAGTGATATTAACATTGTGTGTGTTCTTCATCCAGTAGGATGTTTTGCGGCTGTAGCTCTCGATGTGCGATGTTCTTTCGGTGGCAGTACTGCAGTGCCTACAGAATCTGCCTGAACATGGTCCAGGCCTCCTCTTCCTCGATGTGGCCATGGTGGCATATCTGGTGGTGCAGCTCTCCTCCTCCAGTGTACTCCATTGCCAAATGGACAGTGTTTGCTGTGTCAGTCACCTGGTAGAGTTGAATGATGTTCAGGTGATTGAGGGTCTTCATGATACTTCTCTCTCTCTGGAGAGTGATGCTGGGGCAGCCATGCTTCTTAGAGATGATTTTGATGGCCACCTGGGTCCCAGTTAGCATATGCTGGGCCAGTTTGAGGTCACTGAATGTGCCCCAACTGATGGTCTCAAAAATCTGTACTTTTGGATCTCCTCATCAGGTGAGTTTGAGGCCAAGCCCAGCTCCACAGTGCCTCCTAACTATGCTGACTACAAATCAACCTCTACCAACTCTTCTAACTAATGAGAAACACTAATTATACTTCCTAGGTTGACAATACTAACAAACCACACTAATTATACTAAATACACTAGTAATACTATAATAACTGTGCTAAAGTACTAAGCAATGATACTGAATATACTAACTACACTAAAATACTAAGCAACTAAACGGACTATAAACACTACACGAGAATACTAAGCAATGATACTGACTTACCGACTATGCTAAAACACTAAGCAACCATATTGACTATACAAACTATGCTAAAATACTAAAAACCATACTGACTATGCTAAAAGACTAAGTAACAATACCTACTGTACCGACTATAATCAAAGATGCTGATGTTACAGACAAAGAAACTAAGGAACAATATTGACTACACTACACTAACAGTACTACACGATGATACTGAGTGTGCTGACTACTACAAAATACTAAGCAACGATATAGACTATAGTGATCACAATAAAATATTAAGCAACCATATCAACGATACTGACTACACTAAAATATTGAGCAACCATAAAAACTTTGCTAAAATACTAAGCAACCATGCTGATTATGTCAAGTACACTAACAAAACTAGGCAATAATAATGACTATTATAACTATGCTGTAATACAAAGAAATAATACTGACTATAATAACTATACTAAAATATAAAGAAACCATGCTAACTATACAAACTTCACTAAAATATTAACTAACCATATTGACTGTACTAGCTGCACTAAACTGCTAAGCAATGATACTAACTATACTACCTATGCTTAAATATTAAGAAATTATACTATCTATATTGACTGTGCTAAAACAGTAAGCAACTATACTAAGTATACTCACTAGACTAACAGTGCTAATTAATGATACTGATATATGTTTCCACCCAAATATCATTTCCAATTGTAATCCCCAACATTGGATGTGGGGTCTCGTTGGAAGTGATTGACTCATGGAGCAAAATTCTTATAAATGGTTCAGTACCATCTCCCCTTGGTGCAATATACTGAGTGAGTACTTGGTAATGTGAGTTCTCACAAGATCTGTTTGTTATACAGGGTGAAGTACTCACCACTCTCTATCCTCTCTTGCTCAAGCCAGGGAGTGCTGCACCCATAACACCTTCCACCATGACTGTCAGTTTCTTGAGATCTCCTGTAGAAGGGAAGCAGATGACAGTAACATGCTTCCTGTACAGCCTGTGGAACCATGAGCCAATCCCAACCCTTTTCTTTATAAAGTACCCAGTCTCAGGCATTCTTATAAGGTAATGTGAGAATGTACTAATATGGAAAATTGGTACTGAGGAGTCGGGCATGGCTCTACAGGTACCTGAAAATGTGGTAGTGACTTTGGAACTGGGTAATGGACAGAGGTTGGAAGAGTGTTGGGGGTTCAGAGCTCTGAAGACATGAAGATGAGGTAAAGTTTGGAACTTCCTAGAGACCAGTTAAATGGTTGTGACTGAAATGGTCATAGTGATATGGACAATAAAGTCCAGGCTGATGATGTCTTGGAGATGAGGAACTTTTTGGGAACTGGAGCAAAGGTCACTTTTTTTATGTGTTAGCAAAGCCCATGGAGGCATTGTGCCCCTGCATTAGTGATCTGGTCTTTGAAATTGGGAGTGATGATTGAAGGTACCTGACAGAAGAAATTTCTAAGCAGCAGAGTGTTCCAAGATGTGGCCTGGTTGCTTCTAATGACCACTGATGCTCATATGCATGAGCAAAGGAATGATGTAAAACTGGATTTTATATTTGAAAGGGAAGCAGAGTGTAAATGTTTGAGAAATTTGCAGGCCAACAATATGGTAGAAAAGAAAAGCCCATTTTCAGGGGAGGAATTAAAGCAAACTGCAGAAATTTGCATAAGTAAAAAGGAACCAATGGCTAATAGCCAAGACAATGGAAGAAAGGCCTCCAAGACATTTCAGAGACCTCTGTGGCAACCCCTCCCATCACAGGCCCAAAAGCCTGGGGATGAAGCATAATTTTGTGGGCCAGACCCAGGGCTCTGCTGCCCTGGGTTGCCTTGGGATACTGTTCCCTGCATTCCAGCTGCTCCAGCTCCAGCCATGGCTGGAAAGAAAGGCCCAGGTACAGCTCATGCCTCTGCTTCAGGTGGTGCAAGCTTAGTGGCTTCCAGGTAGTATTAATCATTTATAGGGGCATAGAGTGCAAAAGTGGTGGCTTGGGAGCCTCTGTCTAGATTCTGAAGGATGTATGCAAATCCCAGATGTCCAGGCAGAAGCTGGCTGCAGGAGTGGAGCCCTCATGGAGAACTTCTCCTAGGGCAGTGGGAAGGGGAAATGTGGGGTGGGAACCTCACACAGAGTCCCCACTGGATCATTTTCTAATGGAGTTGTGAAAAGAGAGCCACTTCCCTCCAGACCCTAGAAGGATAGATCCACTGGCAGTTGCACGCTGTGCCTGAAAAAGGTGTAGGCACTCAACACAAGCCTGTGAAAGCAGCCACAGAGGCTGTACCTTGCAAAGCCTTAGAAGCAAAGCTGCCCAAAGCCTTGGGAGCCCACCCCTTGCACTACTGTTCCCTGGATGTGAGACATGGAGTCAAAGAAGATTACTTTGGAACTTTAGGATTTAATGACTGCCCTGCTGGGTTTCAGGATCGCATGGGGCCTGCAGCCCCTTTGTTAGGGCAGATTCCTCCCTTTTGGTAAGGGAGTATTTACCCAATGCCTGTACCCTCATTGTATCTGAGAAATCACTGACTTGTTTTTCACTTCACAAGCTCATAGGTAGAAGGGACTAGCCTGTCTCAGACAAGACATTGGACTGTGGACATTTGAGTTAATGCTGGAATGAGTTAAAACTTCGGGAGACTGGGGGGAAGGTATGATTGTATTTTGAAATGTTATAGGGACATGAGATTTGAGAGGGCCCCAAGACAGAAAGACATGATTTAGATCTCTGTCCCCACCCAAATCTCATGTCCAATTGTAATTCCCAATGTTGGAGGTGATTGGATCATAGGGGCAGAGTTCTCATAAACAGTTTAGGACTCTTCCCTTTTAGTGCTGTATAGTAAGTGAGTTGTCGTGAGATCCAGTTGTTTAAAAGTGTGTAATGGCTCCCCGCCCCCACTTTTTCTCCTGTTCCAGGTGTGTAAAATGCTGACTTTCCTTTGCCTTCTGCCTTAAGTTTCCTGAGACCTCCCCAGAAGCTGAGGCGATGACAGCATCATGCTTCCTGTACAGCCAGTGGAACCATGAACCAATGAAATCTCTTTTTTTTATAAATTACACAGTCTTGAGTTTTCTTTCAAGCAAAGCAAGAAAAAAACTGATACAGATTATAACTTTGCTAACTGCACTAAAATACTAAGCAACTATACTGGCAGTACTGACCACATTAAAATGCTAAGCAATGACACCGACTATACTGGCTATGCTAAAATACTAAGCAACCATACTGACTGCACCAAAATACTAAACAACAATGCTGACCATATTGATGGCTCTAATGATGATAAGCAACAATACTCACTGTGCTAACCACACTGAACTGCTAAGCAACAATACTACCTGTACTGACTATGCTAAAGCCATAAGCAACCACACTGACTATACTGACTATGCCGAAATACTAAGCAACTACACTAACTATGCTGACACTGCTAATATATTAAGCAACCATACTGACTATACTGACTACTCAGGAATACTAAGCAATGATTCTGACTGTAGTGACTACACTGAAATACATAACCAACCATCCTAACTATACTGACTGTGCTAAAATAATAAGCAATGATACTAACTATACTGACTGCACTAACGATGATAATGATACTGACTACACTAGAATACTAAGCAATGATAGTGACTATACTGACTACACTAAAGATGCTATGCAACAATACTATTGTTCTAGCGTAGTAACTATTGCTACTATACTAGAATACTATCTGTGCTAGAATACTGACTAAACTGACTATGTTATAATACTAAGGAAGTACATTAACTATAGCACCTATGCTAATTTATTAAGGCAATAATAGTGACTGTATTGACTATGCTAAAATATTATGCAATGATACTAGACTCTTTTTTTTCTTTCTTTTTTTTTTTTTTTGAGACGGAGTCTCGCTCTTTCACCCAGGCTGGAGTGCAGTGGCACAATCTCGGCTCACTCCAAGCTCCGCCTCCCAGGTTCATGCCATTCTCCTGCCTAAGCCTCCCGAGTAGTTGGGACTACAGGTACCCACCACCAGGCCTGGCTAATTTTTTGTATTTTTAGTAGAGACGGGGTTTCACTGTGTTAGCCAGGATGCTCTTGATCTCCTGACCTCGTGATCCACCCACCTCGGCCTCCCAAAGTGTTGGGATTACAGGCATGAGCCACCGTGCCTGGCCTAGACTAACAACTCTTAACATGCTTAGACATGATACTGACCACACCAACTATGCTAGCAATACTTAACATCGACACTGCCTACACTAACTATGCTAAAATATTAAGAAACCATACTGACCGTATTAACTACACTGAAAGGTTAAGCAACCATACTGACCATGCTAACTATACTAAAATACTAAGCAATGATACTGACTGTACATTTATGCTAAGATGCTAAGCAACACAACTGACTGTATTAACTACACTAAAACAAAAAGCAACAGTACTGACCACACCGACCCTGCTAAAATACTAAGCAATGATACTGAATATGCTGACTCTGCCAATATGCTAAGCAACAATATTGACTATATTATGGTAAAATAATGAGTAACAATACAGACTATACTAACTACCCTAAAATACTGAGCAACCATGCTGACTATACTAACTATGCTAAACCATACTAAGCCACAATACCGGCTATACTAATTACCATAACAATACTAACTACCGATACTAACTGTACCGACTATGCTAAAATGCTAAGTAACCACACTGACTATACTAACTAGGCTAAAACACTAAACCATGATACTGACTCTACTGACTACTGTAACGAAACTAACCAATGATACTAACTATACTGACTATGCTAAAACACTAAGCAACCCTACTAACTATACTAACTACACTAAAGTACTAAACAAACATACTGACTGTTAATGATGCTAAAATACTAAGTAACTGTACTGACTATACTAACTACACTAAAGTACTAGGCAATAATAGTGATTATGCAGACTATGCTAAAATACTAAGCAACCATACCGACTCTATTGCCTACACTAAAATCCTAATCAACTCTACTGACTATACTTACTGCGCTAAAATACTAAGCAACCATACTGACTATATTAACAATGCTAAAATACTAAGTAGCCATATTACTATACTATGCTAAAGTACTAAGCAACGATAGTGACTATGCAGACTATGCTAAAATACTAAGCAATCATACTGACTCAGCTGACTATGCTAAAATTTTAATCAACTCCACTGACTATACCAACTACGCTAAAATACTAAGAAACCATACTGACTAATTAGGCTAACACACTAACATACAAAAGAACCATAGTGACTATGCTAAGTACGATAAAATGCTATGCAACCACACTGACTATACTGACTGGACTAAAATCCCGATCAAACATACTGACTATACTAACTACCATAAAACACTAAGTGTATTTCCCACTCTAAAATTCTAAGCAACAATGTTGATTCTACTAACTATGCTAACATATCAAACAATGATACTGACTATACTAACTATGCTAAAATGCTAAGGAATGAGAGTGACTTTACTGATTATGCTAAAATACTAAGCAATCATACTGACTATACTATGCTAAAATACCAAGCAGTGATACTGAGCATACTAACTACATTAACAATACTAAGCAATAATAATCACTATACTAACTTCAGTAAAATACTAAGCAACAATATCGACTATACCAACTGTGGGAAAATACTTAGCAATGATACTGACTATATTAACTATGCCAAAATACGAAAGAGTGATATTGACTATACTAACTACCCTAAAGTACTAAGCAATTAATCTAACTACACTGACTATGCTAAAACAGTAAGCAATGTTACTAACTATACTGACTGTACCAACAATGCTAAGCAACAATACAACTATACTAACTGTGCTAAAATACTAAGCAATGACATTGACTATACTAACTGCACTAAAATTCTAAGTAACAATACTGACTATACTGACTGTGCTAAAATACTAAGCCATGATGCTGACTAAATTGCCTACACTAAAACACTATCAACAATACTGAGTATACTAACTACACTTAAAATACTAAGCAATGATACTATAATATCTGCACTAATAACACTAACTAGAACAACACAGAGTAAATCAGTGAGAGTCCTCCAGTCACCAAAGCAGCTTCCAGAGATAAATTAAACCAAAAACAGTCTCTGTATGTGAATCCATCACAGGGGCTGTTCGCGAGGTCAGAGCTAAACATGGACCATGCCTGGGGATCATTCACAGTGGTTTTCTCACTTTTGTTCCTAATAACATTTTCCCTTTTGAGTAAAGGGTGTTTTATGTCTAGATGGGTTATAGAGATTGATGTTTAGTTTCTTAGCTATATAAACTTTACAATGCTTCAATGGCATTTTCATTTGTAGTTTGAAAATCTGTAATAACTTTTGGTTTTCAAAGATTTCCTAAAGTCTACACTCAAAATATTCCATTCCTTTTCCTTCAACTCTGAATGGTTAGTCCCCATGATTGAGAAGGGAGGGAACATTTTCCTTTCCTTGTAGGTCTTTTCCTTCCTCATGTGGTTGAGATCATGCTGCGGACACGGAAGGAAACAGACACACCCTACCCTCCACAAGCCCATAGCCTAGTCAGGGAGACACCCCAGCCATGAAGCTACTTCAGGGTGAAGAGCACCAGGTGAAGCGGGGGCCGGAGAAGAGTGACCTGGGCTGCAGGTCAGCGCTGGGTAGGGGAGGAAGCAGCTCTTTCTCCAGGCCAGTGTGCTGAGCCCTGTAGTGTGAGGAGGGGTCTTAGGGACTTAGGGACAAGGGCAGGAGGGTAGCCTCTGCAAAGGCCCGGGGATGACTGAGGGTGGCTCGCTGGAGTGATGTGCTAGTCTGAAGGTGTGACTGGGGCCAGGTTGGGAGAGCTCGAGTCCCAGGACAGAAGCTGAGCCTGTGTTCTGAAGGTCGCAGGTGCTGTGGAATAGTTCTGAGCCCCCTTGCTGTGCCACAGCCTTCAAACCCTGACTATGCTCCTGACCTGGGAGTGGGCTCAACTGAACTTTGCCTCCTCACCAGCCTTGCTGCCTCCAGCCTCCCCCACCCATGACCCTCCATTCTGACTCCCAGAGGGATCCAAGGGAAAGCCACCTCTGGCCTCCGCCACCCACCCGGTGGCCCTGAGACCTTTGGAGGGAAGCCCTTCTCCTTGTCCACCAGGGCTCACCTGGGCAGCCTGTTCTCCCCACAGCCCTGCCTTACAGACCACCCAGTGTGCCCATGTTGGCCATATTTCCTGCACACAGTCCCCTATGCCCGGAATCTGCCCCTTACTCTCCTGCACCAGGTGACCTGTCCTTCCAGTCCCAACTGAGATATCCAGCACCCTGGGGAGCATCCCTGAGACCCAGACACAGAGGAGCCCCTTCTGTCCTAGATCCCAGAACTGTTTGTGCTTTCCTGCTGTCACAATGCAGAAACCCCTACCCCCCCGCCACACACACACACATGCACGCACACACATGCATACACACATACACATGCACATGAACACACACCCACACGCACATGTACTCACACACACACACTTGCCACTGTCTAGGCACATGGATAGCTGCCTGCTGGACTGCCTCTCCCCAACCCCAGCCTCTCTCAGGGGCCCCAGGCAGAGGCGCTGCTGTTAATAGTATAGGTGCACTAGACTGCCCACGCCTTTAATCCCAGCACTTTGGGAGGCCAAGGCAGGCAGATCACCTGAGGTCAGGAGTTCAATACCAGCCTGGCCAACATGGTGAAACCCTGTCTCTACAAAAATACAAAACTTAGCCAAGCATGATGTCAGGTGCCTATAATTCCAGCTACTTGGGGGGTCTGAGGCGGGAGAATCATTTGAACCCGGGAGGCAGAGGTTACAGTGAGCCAAGATCGCCCCATTGTACTCCAGCCTAGAAGACAGTGAGACTCTGTCTCAAAAAAAAAAAAAAAAAAAGTATAGGTGCATTGGAGGTGGGATGAATTGGAGGTGGGGATGGGAAGGGCTCCCCAGGAATAACCCTGCCTAGATGACAGCCACCCCATGGTGGACTCA